GTGAGAAAAGAAAGAAGAAAAATATATACGTTTTCATTCGGCTGTGCAAAGTACCCGAATTGTATGCGGAGTGAAGGTACTCACAATGACGTACGTATTCAAACATAAATGGCAACGGAATGCGCCAACAAAAAGCCCCAAACATACCAAGAGAAATAAAAAGGAAAAAAGAATGTATAATTGTAAATGCATTCAACTAGCCCAACACAATGCGTAGGTAATACATAATATCAATATTAGAAAATGCATATACATGAAGAAAGAGCAGCGCTGTATGTTGTTGTAGAAATACAATGGGTGCAACCAAAATAAGCGGAGAGAATGAGGAAAAAAGCAGAAGCAGCAGCAGTAGCAGCAGCAAATTGGTCTCATTCTCTCTTGCAGTACGAGTGAGTGTGTGATGAACGAAAAATAAGCGGACTTTTTGTTGGTTTTTTGCCAAACCAAAGTGAATTCATGCAGTACCCAAAAACTAACGCAATCTTTTAATCATCGCTCTTTTTTTGCATTGCTCTCTTTCTCGCTCTCACAGTCTATCGAATCGAAGTGTTTGTGTGTGGATCGGGCAATCGATTCGAGAGCAGAAACGAAAATATATATAATATAATGCTAAAACACGACACGAAATGTATGGAAAAAAACTACACCTCAAAAACAACGGTAACAACAACGAAAAAAAAAATCGACAGAGAAAATACATGAACTCGTAGCCGTGTTGTGTGTTAACACGTTTGTGGTGCGCGCGCTCGTCCACGATTTTCTGCTACGAGAAATCGCTCTAAAATCTATATAAGCTGACATGAGCAGCACAGTCAGCAGCAGCAGCCGTATTGGTGCACCATTATTTTACACAAAAATGTAGATTGAACTATAGTGTGAGCAAAAGACTCGATTCGGAGAGTAGTTTTTTTTCTCGCTTCGGATTAGTTTTTTCTGTCCCTCTTCATTTGGAGAAGAAAAAATTGTTTGGATTGCGCACATTCGACGTCTCATTTACGAATCGATGACGAAAAAGTTTTATCAGCGGCAACATTTTAGACCTGTACGAATGGGATCTAGGATGGATGTTGTGTTTCTGGCATCTAGCATTGACTAGGAATTGGAATGATTCTGCCATCAGCCATGAGCGCTATAAGTGACTAATCCGCATACTCTCTCTGTATGTTTACATTTGTATTAGAATGGTATCGGAAACGGCAAAAACATTTTGATTACCATTCGAATGCGCAATGAAAAGACGGAAGAGACGACGGAGACGACGACGACGATAGTCGAATCAATTTGAAAATATTGAGTGTGAAAATTTCTACAAATTCGACTCATTCGGTTGGAGTTTGGCACATACAATGGGAATATGACATGAGACAAACAAGTAGAAGAAGGAAAAAAAAGTCGCCGAGAAAAAAATAGACACAACCGAGACGACAAACATGAAGTCCATGTATATATGGCGGTGTTGTATGATTCTTTTTTCTTTCTGCAATTCGAGACTCTTTGAGGCGATAGTGTGAATGAGAAAGGGACGAGTAGAGCTATTGTCTATTCTTTTCCTCTTTCCATTTTTCTTCTCCCGTCTACGGTTTTAGATTTTTGTTATGTTTGTTATTTTTGTGTGTGCGATGTGTTTTCGGTATGTTTCCATTGTCGTTCGCTCTATTATATCGTTCTTCGTTTATTTTTTCTTCTTCTTTCTCATGCGCTCTCCCAGCAAACACACATACAAAACGTATAATGCGAAAAGCCATCAAAATTTTCAATGCACACGAACGGGATGGACTGTGCAAACGAGATATTGTCGCTTATTATACGTACTCTTTGCTTTTTCTCTTCTTTTTGCATATAATACGTACACATAGCGTGTGTGTGCCTTCAAGTATCTCCAAACTGAAAACTCAAAATTGCCGTTGTTGCCGTTGTCATATCGTCATCGTCTACACAAACGACAACGTCGTCGACGACGACAGCAACGGCGGCAACAGCAGTAACAACAACAGCAGTAACAACAACAACAACAACGACGACGACAGCATGCAATGAGAAACGCGTTTGTCAGAAGTGAACAACGTTGATTGGAAAGGGACCAACACACAATCGGCTGGTATGAGAAAATATGCGTATAAAATGGATTATACTGACGTGCTCTGCTCACATTTAAAATGGAAGCATTTTCATTCCTTCTATTACTTCTCTGTCTTTTTCTCTCATACACTCACTCACTCATTCGCTGTATCGTTGAGCTCTGAGCTCTGGGTTTCACTTCGATAGCTGCGTATATTTGTTTTTGCTGCTGCTGCTTCGACTGCTGCCGTTGCTGCTGCGTTGTTGCTAATGTACACTTTTATTTTGATGAAGCGAAGTGAAGTGATGGTTTGTCATGGATTTAAAACATAATATGCTGTGTGAGTATGGAATAAATGAGCGACGTTGCCACATTTCCGAACGAATTTGGGTGTCTTTGTTGCTGCTATTATACACTATTCGCCTGGCTTCGTCGTCGTCGTCGCTTTGCTGGTTCAGCGTTCAATTTTTCTGGCCCCTGTGTGTATTGTGCAGTTTATACACACACTCGGCTCTCTCTCTCTCTCTCTCTCATACACACAGTCAGCATATTCAGAGCCAGCACTCGTTCGCATACACTAAATGCGGACAAAAACACACACAATACGTCGTATTTCATGTATATTCATATATATATATACTTTTATTTTGAGTGTATCTTTCGTTTCATTCGTACCGCCGTGGCAAGTCTACCTCTCCCAGTCGCTCATTCATCGTCTTCTTCGTCTTCGTCATCGTCGTTGTCGTTTTTTTTCTGTTCAGTATTTTTATTTTTCCGTTCCTTTTACGCTACTTGTGTCGTTCTGTGCATCTCCTTTCGACGCAAAGAGCTCATTTATCATTAACAAACGTGTGCAAAGTATAAAATGAAACCTAGGAGTAAAATGAGTCGATTTTTTTCTCTCTCCCTCTCTCCTTAAGTAAAAATGTGGCTTGGTTTTTCGTCTATTTTTTCACTTCTTCTTCTTTCTCGTTCATTTCATTTGTTCGCTCTGTACAAATTTTGCACATGGATATAACATTGTGAGTGTGTTGCGTTTGATTCTTGATGAATAGCAGAAACGAAACAGAAAAAAAAACAGAATTCAACCAGCCACCAAAATGCGATTTAATTGAAAAATTAATTGAAAAACTTAATTAATAGCAATAATACAATCAAACGGATAAGAAATTTATGTATATATATATCATATGAAATGAATGCAAGTGACGATTACATAAACACAGTCACCCCGTTTCGAAATGGTTCGGCTTTTTGTTTTGACGATGGATATTTTATGCGTTTTATTTATATTTTAGCCGATTGAATAACATTCAATTACAATAGGTGTATACAGAGAGAAATTTTTTCTTTTCGTATCGATGGTACTACATTTTTGTGCTTTACTTCTGTTTTTTGGTGGTGGTGGTGTGTGCGCTCGCGTTCTCTTTCTCTCTATTGATTGTCCCATCATTTTGCCTGCTCGGAAACAAGAGCACACAACAGCACGGCACAGACGTAAATCGCTTTCGAAATGAAATATTGTGAGAGCGAGTGAGAAAAAAACCACACATACACCACACTCGAATCATGCATATACAACCAATTCATTTGTAATTTATCAAATTTTATCGATCCATTTCGGGGCGAATGAGTGAGTCCCTCTGTTCGTCACATATCAAATATTCAGAATCATTCACTGCGATCATGATTCCATGGGCATTCCATCTGCGCCATTCATTTCACGATTAAATTCACCAAACCGAATCTGTTTTCGAACTGGACGCTCGATGAATCGAACATTCGTTCTTCACACAAAAAAAATGCCTTTTTATTTTGATATTTCAGTTTAGTTATCTATACGCTGTTGTGCTTGTTTTTTTCTCTGCTTGAGTTTTTTTATTTCGTTATTCTTTCAAATTTAGTTCGCTATTATTAGTAATATTTATTTGGTTTGGTTGTTTGGGTGCCATAGAAATGGCATTTAGTAATATTTTAATAATAGCATGGATCGTTTGAAATGCCTAGGCATTCACGAAAAATGAGAAAGAATTTCTCATGAACTTAAATGACCGTCGATGAGAGAGGCGAAAATATATCGGTTTGCTTACAACGGCGTGGAAAATTTACTGTCTTTCGACTGTGCTTTTTTTCCTTCATCGTTTGACACCTTTCAAACTTTTTTACGATGTATTATAAAATGTTTCAGGCTTGTTTTTTTTTGCGACTGCTACCTTTTCATTGACGATTCAGAGAATCTTGATTTGTTGAACCAGCTGACGTTCGTAATTTGTTCGTTAATCAAAAGGATTTTACCTATTATGTAAAGATATACGTGTTTGTGGACTCTAAAAGCCGCGGGGTCAACATGATCAGTGTGTAAATCAAATTATAAATCGAGACGATTCCACGAATGATCTCATTGTGACGTATTCGATTGAACAAAAACTAGATCTACTTTCGAATACGATGTGATTTCTACTGATTTTGTTTAATAATGTATCTATGTATGATGGCCTGAATTGTTGTAAACGCTGTTTTTATTACCTCGGCAAAATTAAGTGAAAAGGGTAACGCTAAATGACAAACCTAATAGAAGCCAGAGCAACGAAGTAAAAAAAAAGCCCAAGAAAAGGAAACGGGATTACCTTTTTCAAATTTTATTTACCTGGGCCCAAGAAAGATGAGAAAAAAAAACGTTCATTTTGAAAGATTGCACACAAATTGAATTTGTGAACAGATGCCATGGCTGTTATTCAAATTGTGATCGCGCATTACCCTTTTCACTTTTCAATTTCGATATTCGAATTCGAGCTCTAAAACTCCAAACCAATATTGTTTTTTTGTTGATCGGAATATGAATGAATACCAAAATCCATAAAATATATATAAAGGCAATGAAAAAAATGTGTATATACAAAAGTGAGGGGTGAGGGGGGAGGGAATTTGGTGTTTAATTTACCTTTTAAAATGCTCTCGTATTCTATCCTCACGTACTGTTTCGGGCAAATTTCCAACCCATAGGTGTCGAGTCTCGCGTACCATTTTGCGTTGAATCCTTCATGGAGGCGATGATTTCACTGTTTGTTTATTCCGTGTAAACAACTCACACTTTTTCCCAAAACATTTTTATACAGTGTTTTTCTTTCTCTCTCTTTCGGTCGCTCTTATCGGAACAACGGTTTTTCGGAACAACGCACGCGGCACGAGGCGGATGGTAAACAACAAAATGCGTATATTCTTTAACTTCGGTGGCAATTAGATATTATTATTACTTTTTTGTTGTTGCTTGTTTGCAATTTTTTTTTCTCTATTTTTCGTTCCGCGGATTCAATCACGAACACACGCTAAATACTTCACATGGAAACGGCCGAAAAAAGAGCACTAATTCGGTGCCAGTGAACAAATTTTTCCTCCCCGAATTTATATTTTCTGCCTTAGTTCTGCACTTTTCCAAAGACAATGTTGTTATCGATACATATAATAATAAATTTCAACTATATGATTTTTTTTCACAGTGGAGGAGTTGTCACACACAGATATATAGAAAGATACGTGAACATAAAAATGAGGAAAACATTCAACGACAAATCGAAGTCTCTCGATTCTAATTTTTTTTCTCTGCTTTAAAAAAAAAACTTTTTTGCTTCTTCTTTTTTTTGCTTTAAAATCGATTCGCACACAATGATTGGTTCACTTTTGAACAAATACTTTCGTTTCACTGAACCAATACGTAAGAATCCAATGTTATATCCTGTGTTATGCTGTGTGTATCCTTTTGACTGCAGTGTATGTCGGTATAGGTATCTTATTGATACGCATAGGTTCGCACTAGCTACTGCAAATTACTTCACCACACCTTAATATACTTTTTTTTCCTCTCTCAACTTCTTCTTCCTTTTGATTCGCACTCACTGTGTATTCATTTGAATCTGATGGTGGTGTGATCGTTGATGTTGGTCGTTTATAAAGGACGTAAACTCATTCCATTGAGGAAAAAAAGGGAACGAATCAAGAACAACAACAACTACACAACTGAAACAAAACGAATGAGAGAAGGAATTTGAACCTCCTGAACTGTAGAAAAACACACTCACTGCCCGATTTTCCGTCTTTTCTTGAATAATATTTTTTTTTCTTTCGGTCGCGTTTCCGTGCGATTTTCGCTCTTCACTCTTTTTTATATTACGATTCACTTTTCATCCTTTGCTTTTATTTCGTTTCGGCACTATTCAATCGCTCGCTTCCTTTTTCATTCGATACATATCCTTGGTATTGTTTTCTATATATAAATTACTTTTTCATATCGAACAGTGAGCACTTCCTCATATTTTCTTTTCATTTCATTCTTCATTTATCATTTCTCTCTCTCTTTTTTTTTCTTTCTTTCGATTTTTTTTATAGAACAATTTTTCTATGTTTCGCACTGCGATGCGGTATTCATTGAGTCCATCGAAGCCACAATTTGAGCTACAAAAAAAAAAGAAAATAGATACAGAAAAATTTGAATCGTTTGGTGTCGACTTTTTGGTTGGTTGATTTGGATGTGATTTTTTATTTATTTTTTATTGTTGTTTTATAGCACTGACAAATGTTCAACTGAAAATCACTGATATTGAACGGTTTTGTTTATTATTGTTGTTATTTTGTTGCGTGAACTGATACTGCTTGCCATGTGAATGAATATAGATTGTGTCGCAGGCCAAAGAGTCGGAAGTGACAAAATAAGTGGAAAAAAAAGATACACACTGAAATTGATTTACGCGGAATTTGGAATGAATTTCAATGGATTCTTGATGCTTTTATTTTCTTCAAAATTTCTCTCCAACTCTCCCTCTCTTTCTCGCTCACTCACACTCCTCACGCCGTCGTCTCTCTATTCCGTATACCGTGTACTGTGTATTTCATTATTCTCAGTCAGTGGCGCGAACAATGGCCAATAGTTCATCATATCACATTTGAAAAACATGAATAAACATTCACGCACACACATGCATCATCGGGAGCACAACGACAATTTATTATTATACTGTATCCTTTTACAACTAAACGGATGACGAGGAAAGTACAGGCGTTCACATGGATTATGTAACGTTTAGTCGTACTATATATATTTCATTTTCTTTTTCGTTTTTCGTCGATTCTCTCGTGCTCATCAATTTTCAATTACTACGCTACGCTCTTGTTTGATACACGGTCATTTTCGGGTGTTCTGTACATTCACATGCAATTTACTAATCTTTTTCTTCTTCTCTCTCTCTCTCCCTTTGTTAAACACACACATTTAGACGATATTTTGAACTTATCGCGATAATACGAGCTTAATGAAGAAAAAAAACAACAACAAATTCTACGAAATCGAACAAAACGTTGAAATGAACGAACAACGAAATAACGTATAAAGGGAAAAAAACTTTATTATGCGAATGACACGACACGATACGTTACGAGAGACGACAACACAACACACAAATCGAATAGCGAGATGAAGTGATGCGCGCGCGACCGAACCGTAGAAAAAAAAAAACTAAAAGGCAATGACGAGATTTTTTTTATATAAATTTCAACGCGATCGGAATAAATTTTCAGCGCAAAGGTTATTTGATTTCGTTTAACGCGTTTTTTGTCTTCTTTTTTCTGTTATTTTTGCTTTACGGTTATGCGATTTTTTAACATCAAAATCGGGCGGCTGTGATTTACAGAATATTGAGTAACGTCGTCGATTCAACTTTTAAAATGAAAAGAAGGAAAACAAAAAAAAAATTAAAACGAGTATCATATCCGAACGGTTGCGGTTACATTTCAAATGCATTGGCGCACAAAAATGACAATGAATGTTGTTTGCTTCTCGTGTTTTTTTTTTGTTTCGTTTGGTCGTTCGCTCTTCGTATTTCAGTTAATCCAAATAAATAATCCAAATCCAGGGCGGTGTGTGTGTGCGTGCGAGCTATGATGATAGATTGTAATCCATAGGAGGCCAGCATTTGCAATTTGCCTTATTCCAAGTGGGCAAAATGCAGACGTTTACTTCTTCGTTACAACACTCACATAATCCAGTATAATAAAATGACAAAAAAGGAAGCGTTTTTTTCATTCGCTTTCTCACACATGCACAGTTATAGTTCAATAAGTAATCAAAAACTAAACGAACAACGAACGTAAGAAAAAAAAAAGTATAAGATTTAACAAACGAACGAATGAATAAAATAACTCCTTGTAGCAATGACAAAAAAAGAAAACAACAAAATCGCTGCGCGACATTCACAAGATAATACAGATATATGTGTGTTTATTTTTCTTCTTTTTTTTCTCTCTTCTTCTTCTTATTTATCCATTGATTTCATGTTGATTTTCTTGTATTGATTTATTTTCAAACACAACACAAATTTTGAGAGTTGATACTTACAATTCATTTTTCGAACGTCCATTTATCACACTATTTTTTTCATTTTACACAGAACCAGCATTTGAATTGTGCCCTTGTTGTTGTTGACTTTCTTTTCAAGAAATCATAACCAAAGAAAAATAATAATGAAAACTTCTTTAAACACTAAATAACACTTTTTTTTGTTTCTTATGCTGATGCAAAATGCCGAATTACTGCTGCTTCTGTTGCTGCTGGGCTACTCCACATGAACAATCGGTTGCTTCTCGTGTTATTTCAACCGCGTGAAAACTTAGACAACTAAAAAAAATAACTAAATGAAATTATCGTTCGCTTTATGTGTCGGCAATTCAATTCGTTTGGTTGGTTCTTTGCTTCTCTTCGTCCTTTCTTTTTTTTATTATTATTTCTCTTCTCTATTTCACTTGATTCCAAAGTTTAATACATCACAAAACGACTGTATGTTGTGTCTTCTTCTTCTTCTTCTTTTTTTTTCGTTTGCTTGCTTACTTTTTTCTTGCTCTTCTTCTCTTTTTCAATAAAAACGTCGATTTTATGACGCGTTATCGCTTCGATGTTTGCTCATCGCGTTTCACTCTACAACTGGGAGACGGTCTCGGACCAAGTTATTCCGAAGTCGAACACAATACACACATAGTTTTATTGTACGGTTGTACTATAACATTGACACAGGGTATATCCACGGCACGATGTTAATGTGGCGTTGTCTGATTTTTGGTTTTTAACCTTTGTACTCTGGAATTGTTCGATTTATGACTTAAGATATGGGTTTGTTTATTGGCTTGGACATCTTTTACTGCCGTTTACTTCCCTATAATCATTGACTATCGAACAAAATTCCATGGAAAATCAGAAAAAAACTCAATAGACTTTGGGCTGAGCGAGCGTCTGAAAAACACCCTGCGACTTGGTTACGTGTGCATTGTTGATGCTAAACAACATGGCGTCCGTGCATAATACCAACACCAGAAATCTAGTACGTTTCGTGTATCGGCTGCATGTATATGTGTGTTTATCTGAAAAATTAAACTATGGTTGAGCCATTGAAACGGCACAGCCGTATTCATTTACGTGACATACTTCCAACGATTAACATCAAATTTGTCGATTTTTGTAGCATGAAGCGACGAAGGCTTTCGACCACCAGACACAGGCTTTTGTCTTGATCTTTGGATTTTTTCCAATGGGGTTTATCAAAACGACTAATAAAAAAATCGAAATAAAAAACAAACAAACTCAAAGCTTATGCAACACAGACAGTTCAATCGTTGCTATTGAACCTTATCGTTTTTGGGATTTTTTTTTACTACTGGGAGATGATTTTTTTTGTATTGTGTCAAGTAGTTTTACGTGACAAAATGGCCGTCTGAAATGGTGTATCGATTTTTTTTCGATTGTTCGCTATTCTGATCGCTTCCATTGGATTATAATATTTACTGTCGTACGTCACCCGTGGAAATGGATATAATTCTTAAACCCGAAAAAATATTTAAAAAAAAAAACAATGTGCAGTCGATGGAACACACACATTTTTGTTTTGCATTACATTTCATGGATTACTGTTTTGGAGCTGCTTTTTTGTTCTTTCGTTCTGCATTCAATGATTAATTGCATGGAAAGGAAATACCACAGTTGATATGAACGAACGCGACTGAACTGATGGTGCTTTTCTAGTTTCTGCGAAAAATGATAAAAACTAGATTGAGATTTGGACTCACTTTAACCAAATGTGGACTTGTGCATAATTCACATGAGAATGTGACGCATTCCCTTGGATTTTATATTTCTTTGATAACAGCGTTCTTATCATTGAATATGTTTTTTTTTCTTTTTGTTGGAAATTCATTGCCTTTTTTTTCATCGAGCTTAGCGGATTGGCCACCAGATTGGGCTACGCAACAAAAACACATTCGTTATCTTTGTATCAAACACATTCACTTATCGCATATACAATTTCAATAACAATGAAGTTGGTTCGATCAAATTGTTTTCCATCCGAAATGAGATGTCAAACAAATCTAAAGCGATTTGACACCCAGTGGATAGCGAATCTGGTTCACATGCTGCTCATTTGTTTTTAGATTTCTGTACTTTGTATTTAACAAACATACAAATTCAATCGAAAGAAAAACAATGGTCATTTGTACATACTTTTTGAGTAATACGTGCCGTTTTGGCGCCAAATGCCACAACGAACACGTGAACGTCAAGTGAGTATTTGTGAGAAAAAAGAGAAATAGACACATAGAATTGCAATGTGAATGCATAAATAATTTATGTAATTTTCAAAGGTTGACCCTGAAAACTGATGCAGAGAGTACGCTCAAAGGAAACCAATGGCCACTTTCAAGCTATGGACCGTTTCGAGATAAACCATGCATACCCAATTTTATCGAGGATCAGTCGTTCGAAGAAGTTAGGCATTTGTGTAAGTTTAGCGCTCGTTTACATAATTGTGAATTACGTAGCATGACTTTGAGTTCAAAAATATTCGTTTCGAATTCAGAGTGTGCACTTTGCTCTTTAGATTCATTAACCTAAATTAAAAATGCTCGATCGAAATGTTAATTGAATTGAAAATTGACCTTTTCAGGCTATGAAGCCAAGGCGACGGGTAACGTTCAGATGGTGGTAAGTGTATTTGAGTTTCTGTGTGTTTTTATCAATTCATGGCAATGTCAGAATCAGAAGCAAAGCATTTTCAAACAACATTTCGCCCAATCAAATAGATCTTTTTATCTTCTAGACGAACCAATTCACGCAATCAATTTTAGACGCCAATAATAAACTAAACATGTTGGTAAATCCGGCGGATGAGGTTGTTGCAATGGTGACAAACCTTTACAACAGTAACTGTACAAATACACCCGCTACAGCGCAGGCACCAAATGCGAATCCATTTGGAATGGGTTCGAATACAATGAATTCAATGAATTCCGGTGGCAGTTTCTTTGGAGGTGGCAACAACGCAGCCCAATCGAATAGCCTATTTGGGTCATCTTCATCGGCAGCGAGTTCGAATCCATTTGCCCGGAATGCAGCTGGCTTTGGAGGTGCTCAAAATCAAAATACGAATTTGTTTGGTGGTTCAGCAGCTACCTCGAATAATATGAATCTCTTCGGTGGAGGCGGTGGAGCCAGTGGAGTAAGCACAGCTACGACAGGCAATAGTTTATTCGGTGGCTCATCATTTTCAAATACAAACAATGCGTCAGCCTTTGGCAGCACCACCCAGCCGAATTCATTATTTGGTGGTGGCTCAACGTCTGGCCCGTTTAGTCAGCAAAACACCAATGCTTCACCGTTTGCAATGCCCCAGTCGACAAATCAATCGTCCGGTTTATTCGGTGCTCAAGCACAATCGAATCCTGTATTCGGCGGAAGTGCATCCTTTGGCATCCAAGGAAAAACCGGATTATTCGGTCAAGCCAGTGCTAGTCTTGGTCAAGCAAATACGGGAAATATCTTCGGTCAAAGCGTTCAAGCCCCTGCATTTGGTGCGCCACAACCGCAGCAACAAACAAACCTTTTCGGCAATGCAAATCAAAATCAACCGCAGTCACTGTTTGTCGGACAACAAAAAACTATGCAAGCCGCGGACAATCCATTTGCCGCAGTTGCACAGTCATCCAATACGAATATTTTCGGACAATCGCAAATGCAACAGCAACAACCTTCACCGTTCCAAAACTCCGCTAGTGTTTTCGGCGGGAACCAAAACACAAACAATTTCGGTGGAAATGCAAGCATGGTATTTAGTGGTGCAGCTCAAGCGGTTCCCCATCAAAATCCTCTCCTGCCCACTCCAACACAACCACCATCACTGCAGCAGCAACAACAGAACATCTTCGGGGCAAATTCCTTCTCGGCTCAACCCACAGCACCTGCACAGACTCCATTCGGCGGTGCTGGTGGAAATGCTTTCCAAAGTGCACAACCACAACAACAACCACCCATTCAACCGTTGTTCGGTGCACCAGCACAACAGCAACAGAATATATTTGGTGCTGTTGGTGCGACTGCTCAACAGCCCGCGCAACAATCAAAAACCCTATACACACCCATGGACTCACTGAGTCAAGAGGAAATTGAAGCATTCAACAGTAACACATTTGACATCTCAAAAATACCCACCAAACCGCCGCCAATGGAACTTTGCATCTAAATCAACAATCAATAGACTCTAGAATTCAATCTTAAGTTGCTTTTAATTTATATTGTACAAATTATCCCAAAATAAATCGGCCATTTATAAGAAGACATACTAATTGTTTTTTTATTGAGGTATGAACTTTTTTTTTTCGCTCGTCTTGTGTTGATTTTCGCATAAAATCGTTGTTATTTAGACGAATGAACGAATGACAGTTCACTGCAACAATTTGACAGCTCTAGACAATTGCTTATTATGATTGGATTTGACATTTCGAATATGACACACTCAAATAAAAACGAAATGAGACTTTTTTCTGATGAATAAGTTATGTTTTGAAATTTCATGCAAAATGGAAGACTTTTTGATGATAAAATGAATGTTCAAATAAGATTTTCACAGCAAATCTAATGATCTACTTTGAATTGAATAAAAATACGAACTTTTTTACATTTTGATAAAATAAATGAATTTCACAACGACACAACGGTATCTTATTTCTCATCTTCACATTCACTCTCGGTGTCACTGTAGTCGAAAACATGTTTAGACATGACCACAAGGAAAAAACACACGCAACGAGCGATGGTGGTGTGCGATTGCAATTGACTAAGCGAATAGCAAATAAATTTCATCATAAAACGAAACGACGTAACATTATTTTGTACATAAAATCACATACAGTTGACTACGATATATAATCCAAATCAATTTCGATTCGTCATTCGTCGAGTTAAGTTGATAGTTAATAAGTGAAGTCGATTCACTCAATCAGTTGATAAAACCACAAAAAAGAAGGTCATATTTTAAAAGGTCAAGTGTTGTGATACTAGCGTTCTAAGTTAGTCGAAATCACATTTATTTATAAATCAAAGCAAACGTCAACGTTTATTAATAGTTAAGTGTAATTTCGTAAAATTTCGTTAAGATTTAATTTATACAAGAAACAAACAAACAAACACAAAAATGGCATCAGCATGGAAAAAAGTGGAACCAGTTGAAAGTTGCAATTTGCAAGAGATTATGTCCGAAGAGTATGCCCGTGGTTTGCAAGACAAAGAGAATCAAAAGTACGAAGAGCATCTAAAAGATATGGCTGGACCGTTTATTGATCCACCTTTTGCGACACGATTGGAAAATGACTCGGTGCCAACGATTGTTGAGGGGAGCAGCAAAGACACGAAAATGAGCTGTCAAAATCAATTGAATGATATTCCGGAGGATGTGTTGAATTTTATTCGAAACGACACCGAGCTAAGTCAATCGGTTGATTTTGGTGATTCTGATCGATTGTTAGCTGAAATGCTACAGGCTGCTTTTGACAAGGAACATGATGACGAGGTTAATCGCATTGAAAAGCACACGAACAAAGACTCCAAGATTAATGTGTCGTTCAGCAATTTCCGTCGACAACATCCAGCTAATACGTACTTGGATTCGGACGAATACGACGACTATGACGAGCCGCCAAAGAATTGGGATCGCTTTGAGGCAAATGATAAGATTATTCGTGGTATGAACAAGAAAGGATTGGGCCATGATGAAGACGGTGTGGTTATCACGAAACATGATGCTGAAGTGTGTGGCGTTCGTAATGCTGGCCGACTTATGTCGTTTCCCACGGAATTTGCAACTGGTGATGCGGGTGGTTTTGACATGAAACTTTCGAATTCAGTTTTCAATCAGCTTAAATCGTACTCGCAAAAGAGTAAAAAGACCAACAAAGCACAAGATCGTCGTGAGAATAAGGAAACGGCCGAAATGGGTAATTCATTCTATTCTAAGAATTGTTGTTTTATTGTTTTACATATTTGATTATTTTGGTCTCTCTATAGGTATCGATGAACCAACTCGATTGCGTTTGTACAAGTTGATTAATAATCAAATTTTGGAACAAGTTAACGGAATTATTTCCACTGGCAAAGAAGCGGTGATCCTCCATGCCAACAGCGACCCAAGCTATTCCGGAGAGTTAATTTTGCCCAAAGAATGTGCTGTAAAGATCTTTAAAACAACTTTGAACGAGTTCAAGCAACGTGATCGTTACATCAAAGATGACTATCGCTTCAAGGACCGCTTCAGCAAGCAAAACAATCGCACGGTCATTCATATGTGGGCTGAAAAAGAGATGCACAATCTCATGCGAATGCAGAAAATCGGCATCAATTGCCCAGAAGTTATCGCATTGAAGAAGAATCTTCTGTTGATGTCGTTCATCGGTGAAAACAATATTGCTGCGCCAAAGCTCAAAAATGCCATTCTATCGGCCGCCGAACTAATCATTGCATACGAAGAAGTTGTTGACATTATGGTGCGTTTGTACAACGAAGCCAAGTTGGTTCATGCCGATCTGTCGGAATACAATATTTTGTGGCATGATGGCAAATGTTGGCTTATTGATGTCGCACAGTCGGTCGAACCGGGCCATCCATCAGCTCTGGAATTTTTGATGCGTGACTGTGACAACATTTCAACATTTTTCACGCGAAAAGGTGTTAGCGGCGTTAAAACAAAAGAAGAACTTTTCTCTCATATCACCACACTTGATCCATCCGTTCACAACGCTGCTATGCTTGAACGAATGCATGCTAAGGGACCAACCGAAACGATGGCCACAGCTCAAGACATGGATGAAGTGCCCGAACAAGTGAAACCAATCTCATATCCGTTTGATTATGCCTGGAACAAAACGCAAGAGCAAAAAATGGCCACCACCGCAGCAGCCGTCGACATTGATGCACTATTCGCTACAAATTAATTAAATTTCCAATGATTGTCAAACTGCCAACTCGGAAACAGGAATTATGGATAATAAACTGGTTTTATTTCTATAAATGTGATTCTTATTTTATTATTATGGATTGCTTTCAGTCGGTATTAATTAGTCGAGAGGGATTATTTTTATCTACACAGGTAATGTACTTGAAACTGAACGTCTAAACATCGATGTAAAGAATCGCAGGCCACTTGAGCCACCAGGAACTTCTGCTAATATCATGAAAAACAATGAAATGACTTGAATCACAGCGGTTAAAACCGTAAGCACGGTGCTTTGCATAAACATTGCAAAGTAGAGGGTTGCAATTAAACTGCCTGCGTACGTTCCCGAAAGCGCTAGCCTTGCCTTTGAGAATGCTTGCCTGAAGAATACCATGAAACCACTCAGGAAACAGAAACTGAAAATAAACATGACGTTTAAGAGATGACGTTGAGAATTGAGTCGAACGTTTTTTTCTTCTCTTACCTCATAATGAAAAACAAACTGCCCAGTGAGAATAGAAGAGCAAACTTTCGGGCTTTCAATATTAATACGGGGATGTAGAGTGTTGACAGTGACATGCAGAAGATTCCGAGGCCCAAACATACGAAAAATCCGATTATCCGCTGCATTCGCGACTGAAATCATTTGTTTGACAGCAGTTGAGTCATTCGATTTGAAAAAAAATTACTAAAACATTCGATTTCATTAGTTTTCCTACCAATTTCGGGCAGCAGCTATCCTTTGTGTCCTGTAACCATCCATTGGCTTCTTGTGGCTCACTTTTGCCGAATAGATTTTTTATCTCGGGAACTTTGAGTGTTGGCATTTTCAAGTCAATTTTGAAATTTTTCTTCTGATCACTTTGCAGCAACAGATACTCATCGAGGTCATCTTTCAGATTTATTGCCGTCATCTTTAAATCTAATCTATGTGCTTTATATTTTATATTGGAATTGGAAAATTAAATACGAAACAGATATTAAATTGTGTTTATCTAGACACAGCACTGATGCAATTGTCAAAACGTATTGTGTATTTTTTGGTGATGTCAAATAACCCATATGATCAACTAAGCATACAATGATATACACACATACACACGTATACAGTGCTGCCATCTACAGGTTTTTATTCAAATTTGAAATTGCAGCTATAAAAAAAACTTCATTTTGTAATGAAAATTAATAGTTAGTTGTTCGGTCTTTTCAACGAACATCGACGATTGAATTTGCGACGATTGATTCGACGGGGTTTGGTTGGTTTTAGCTCGCATATGAATGGTGCATGCTTGCGACAGTCGAACATTTTCCACGACCTTGACGCGGTCAATGCAACACAGCCCAATCGTTTTTCTTCACTGAAAATATTCAATTTTTCTTGATGTGAAATGAGTGTAGGCTTTGGTCAAAGATATATATTGAGATTTTTTATGCATGATTTTTAATGTTTTTTTCTTCATTTCGTTGTCACGTTTTTACCTTGGAAACTTTGGAGCCCAGGCTCGATAACGATAGCATTGCAATGGAATGCCAAGTGAATCGGCAAAACTCCCTTTACGTCCAACTTCTTTCAAACCAATAAACGCATGTCTTATAGGAATTTTCAAAGGAGCACCAACATTTTCATTCAATGTACTTTGTGATATGACTGGCGATTTATTTATGTCGAACACTTGCTGCTGAATGAGAAAAGACAAGAAATTGGTTCGAGTTCCGCTTACAATCTGCGCCAAATAACCTCGATGACCTTCACATGTACTCGTTGCCTCTGTGTAATTCATTCGGTCATCGTAATAGTACATGAATAGTCCAACTGATGGAAAACATGTTGCATTCTGTGGCGCTGCATAGAAAATTTCATAAAATAGGGATGTTGGAAAAACTGATCTGTTTATTTAAATAATACATTTTTCTTCAAAAATCCGTCCTAGTTAGAAGTTCCAAGAAAACTTCTTTAACAATTCCCCGTAAACACAATTAATCATTCTGAAAGGAAGTAATGATATTCATGTCAAAAATTACCATTTCCATAGAGTGAATAATAATCAAATCGCGTATCATTGATCATTGTTGACATATTTCCAACCTCTGGACAACTTAACACCTAATATGCAGATGAAGAAAGACAAAAACTATAAAAGCGGACCACAAACTTTTCAATTTAGCGAAATCTATTGGTTGGATAGTTGACGATAGCACCTTTTCGAAGGCCTATAGCAGAATATGCTGCCAGGCAATGATAACTGCTCCGATAAAACGGCCACAGCATGGCCACCTCCAGCACAAGATAATTATCGTTTGCACACTACATACTGACCTCACAATTGAAATATGGATCAGAATTTTCCACCAATTCTTGTAGATTTTTTTCAATTTTCGTTTTATTCTCCTCTTTCTCTCGTTTAACATCGAACAAATTGAGCAGGTCACCATCTTGATCGCCCTTTTTTTGTGGCCGTTTACCGTGTCCAAAATTGAATGCCAACGCTTGGTTATTCTCAGCGAATTGGATACACTTGTTGAGATTGGCCACATTTTTGGCAGCAATTCGAGTTTTATTCGAGCGTTGACAATGACGCACCGGATAAAATTTCGTATGGTTACGCTTCAGCAAATCTGAACAGAATAACTGCGATGAAACAAGTGTTAAGCAACCGAAGAATATAAAAATGAACACAATTTTGGAATGCATTTTAATGCAACGCAGGTTGAACACGAAATGATTCGAATTTTATGTGGAATACACAAATTCACAGTCGAATCGGATGTTTGTGGTTGGCTTGACTGACTGACTGACATTTCCGCTTAAAATGAACTAACTTCAATAATCTGGCTTCAAAAAGTAGAGACCCAAGGTAATTTCAATAGCATGCATCGAGTTTATTCTCTTTTCTTTTTGAATATGATGTGGTGCTTCTATTATTGTTACATCAATTCGAACAACATAAATGGGAGATTTTCACATTGAATTGATGTCAAACCGAGAGCATTTCAGTGTGGATTTATTGAGGTTGAAATATATGAATTTTCAACATCTTGAGTTTAGCCGCCATATGATCTATATAGAAGTATGTCCTATGTCCTTACACCTATGCCAGTGGGTTTACACTTGAAGATTGATTCAAACGAAAAATACGATAGAAAAAATGGACGGCAACAGCAAGAGCCAAAGGAAAAAACAATAACAGAAATCCAAAAAAAGCAAAGTGATAGCAAACCGTTACTTTTACTTTACTATGAACTTGATAATATCAAGTTGATATTATTCCACAATTTTTTTTCACGTAGATTTTGGACTTTTATTTTACTTTTTCATTAATTTGTATGCATAACAAGAACGTTCTGCATGAATTTTATTACAGCTTATTAATTGTGGATTCGGCACAAACACTATTTTTTTAAAAATACTAATCATTTGGTAATACATCAGCGGTGACATAGCGAGAAAAACTTCGAATAAAAATTGTTAATATTATCAATTCCCATGTCCAGCTATAGCACATTTCAACGATCGTTCTTCACATACATTTCTATCAAGAAGGAAAGAATAAAAGACATGAAAATCATAAAATTTTCTTCATTTTCGTAGAATTAGAACAAACTCTCATATTGAATCAATATGATTGATCATTAGTTTTCTTTTGTTCTATTCCATTTAGATTATGTTCCATACGCTGAATCATTTCTTTCATACGAAACTTCTGATACCACAAATGGTATTGAAATTATTTGTTTAATAGGGGAATGTAACCGGTTGTGGGACGGCTCCGGTTGTAGGACAGTCGATTATTTTGACACTTTTGTAGCATTAACATCAAATGATGTATTATAATGTTATTTTATATCCGTAATCAAACTTTTGGTACGGCTTCGAGCTGAATATATGCACTCGTTATATTATTTTCAGACGATGTGTTGAAAAATGTAAAGAAAAGTTTCATAGACTTCTCTTAAGAAGTAATATTTTCACAATTTTTGATGAAAAAATGATCAGTAAAATAGTGATATACGTAGTTTAAGGACTAAATTTTATCATGAGTAAGTTTTTTTTATCAATATATGGGCATTGAAATATTTTTTTTGCATCACATCCAAGTGGTGTACAATTCCGGTTGTGGGACAGTCATGTAGCCGGTTGTGGGACACCCATTTTTTGCATTGAAAACATGAATTCGACATTTCAGTCATGAAATATGGTCATTTGTGTTAAAATAAATATGTGTGGTCGGAATTATTGGTGTTTTTGGTGACTGTCAAATCAACATTTGCATTTCTCATCATGTTAAAGGGACAGAAGACAGCTTTTCCAGTACAGGGTTATGATACTTCAGTCCAAACAGTCAAAGATTCATATGACTGAGACAAAAAGTAATTAGAGAAACCTTGCTTGACTTTGAGATGCACCGAACAGTGGATTGAAGCCGATACACGGATCAATTGGGGTAGCTATTCGATGATATTACAAAAGTAAACTATGGAGAGTTACCAGAAGTAATATTTCGTTCAGCTACAAACATTCCATCGAATATTGACCAATCAAAATTCAATAAAATCCTTTTCTTGCCGTAGAAAAGTCCACTTCAAATGTGCAAAGGCCTTTAATGGTGTCTAAATGTGCATTCACTGCGAATTGAATGTGAATGAAGATTATGGCTTATTTTCATTCGTAATTTGACATGTAACCACCATTTGATCATTGTTTGCTTATGGTAGTCTAAAAAATTAAATAAACAATCATAAAATCATGATTTCTAATGATTTTACTTCAATCTTGGACATTTTAAGCAAAAAAAATGAGGTGTCCCACAACCGGGTACAATTTTTTTTTCTCGTCATTTTCAAGACTGTCGGGAAAATGAGCATAAAATTTTTGTTGTGCATATAAATGACTAACTTTGTTTGGAGAAAAGTTAGCTATGATGGTTATCTTTCGAACGGTATATAGGGTTTGGAAAAATATAGGATAAAAAAAAATTTGTGGCAAAATTACAAAACCCGTCCCACAACCGGTTACATTCCCCTATTTATTCTTATCATATCATATGTCCATTTTGAACACACTATTTTCCAAACCTTGCGGTAATTTTCTTCCAACAAACAATTTCAGTTTATTGTGAAATAATTGCGGTGCTGTAACAGCAAACACACATCGCTTCTTTACTCATTCGTGTTGTTTCATGCATTCGCATTGCCGCCGCATGAATCCAGTTTAAACATTTGCAACGCATTCGTATTTCGATTCTATGAATCCATATAAACTGCTGAAAAAAATAAGTGTAAATACGATTGAGCAAAAAATGGATGAAGAATGGAAGCATAAAATGATGCCTTAGCGGTTCTACTTCGTATAGTTGTTTATTTGAATGAGTCATAAGTCCTACTCAGAAAATATTTGACGGGCAGATAATTTGTTCATAAACAAAACGACTTTGTTGTTTCTCGACGATTCGACTGTGAACGCATATGCAAGCACAACATTTTAGCCAGCAAAAGACGCAAACAACGATGACTGTAAGGCTTAATAAGATGTAGAAGTATTTTTTCTTTCGCTCTTTCTTCATCCTTTCCACACTCTCTTCTCTTCTCACATTATCAGCGAACGAAACAAACGCACAAACCAAAAATCGCAACCAAAACATACAGATCGTGAATACAGGCGACCGCACGTCAATTTGAATTCATTTTACTGTCAAATCTGTTCCCGTTCGGACGAGAAAGACTGTCCACTTTTGCGACGTTATTCAATACATGTAGTGAATTTCCTTTTGCGCACAACATTAAGTTTTCTTCAAAATCAGTGCAATTCCGCCAAATTCAAACAGGAGAACGAAAATAAAGCATAGAAAGCAAGCAATTATTTGAAACACATTTTCAACCGGGTGAGTTTTTAAAGTGAAATTTTCATATAATCTAACTATTTCAAGTTTCCGAAGAGAAAACTGGTAAAATGAGAAAAACCAAGCATATTGAACAAAATACGGAACCAAATAAAATTTTTGATGCTAAATCCACTTGAAAACTTTTGAAACGTTGTCTCATACGTCCAAGTGCTACAATATATAAAAATCATGCCGGTGTCGCATTAGTGCGCAGTTTGATAAACAACTGTTCACTTCACTCTTTTAGTGGATATTTTTTCAAACGAATTGATCCTCAAATAAAATACCAACAGCGATATTGACAAACATTGAATTGTAGCGGTTCTCCATAGAAGATGGGAACATTGATTCGATAACCACTATATAATTTCCAAGCTAATGATACGGCAGCACATTATTTCTTCTGCGCAGTAAATTATGACGAAATTCCTGACTAAAATAATCAAACAGCTTTTTAACAATTGTAAAGTCATATCGATCAAAGGCTTATTTAAAAACGGCACTGGCAGAGGTGCCTGATTCCATAAGATCGCGCACCGCGCAATGAATTCGAATTATATTATATGCTCAAACGCAATGGTTACAAAACAACGCTGTATACTGCGTGTGGTGCACTGTTGGCATTTATACAATTCTTGAATATTTCGAATCTTATTTTTCTACAGCATACATCAACCACTTGCAAGTACACATTTACCAAACATTTTTATCAACAGCATTCCCACTTCAATTTTCAAAAAATAAAATAAAATGAAATTTATAAATATAAGCAATAAAACACCTTGCAAAGTCCATCTTTTTATCAAGTTGTGAATTTTTATAGCTGTTCAATCTGATTGCACTTCTGCACATTTGCAACTCTGATTCATCAAACCGGTAGGACATATGATGATGTCTTCGACAATGTTGTAGTACGTGAATTTTTAATAGCTTTGCTTGATATCTTTCAGCCATGGCAGCCAACCAATTCAATATAGACTATCACCAACTGCTGGGTGTTAGTAGAAATGCCGACGAAAAGACTATACTCAAAGCATTCAGAGAACTGTCGAGAAAGTGTCATCCGGATAAAGTATTCGGCCAAGAGGAAAAGATGAAGCTGTTAACCATGGCCAAAGTCACCTTGCTCGATCCGGATAAGCGAGCCAAATACGAGGCCAATTACGAGTCGGGTGACAGTCAATCCAATTTGATTGCTGACTTGCTCAAACTTAATATTGGACACAGACTATCAGATGACTACCGTGCCAAAATAGAGCAATGGAAAAAAGAGTATCAAAGCATACATATCATTTCCAATATGGACATATTCGACAAGTTGTTCCAAGAATTTGAGCAATCCATGTTTGATAAAAGAACAGTTTTTGATCTAGGCGCAGATCAATTGATCAACCAAAATAAATCAGATCAAGTGATGTTTGAAGAGCTACGAGCAATTTTCATAGAGCAAAACTTTGGAAACCTAGCTCAATATATCTTGACCAACCAGTGTCGCTCTGTATTGACCAAGCTATACGAAGATAACAACACACATGCATATGAATTGCCAGATAAACTCAAAGCGTTGCTCCAAATTATCAAAGTGTCTAGTACACTGCACGCCGATGGTCATCAAAATAGAATCAAAGGCTTGTACGAGGCGGTTTACATTTATCCCATCAATGAGTGCATAGATTGTGTTCTAAAACTCATCAACAATCGTATGACTGATGCTCATAAGGATGAGGTTATAAATATGCTAATGACTCACAACTTGCTAAATGAAAAAGCAGAGAACAAGCAGTACATGCACAGATTGAAATGTAATTCTACACTCAGATCTATCTTTAAATATGAGGAAGCCATTCATAATCAGGTATGGTTCAAAATACAATCTAATTTAATGTTAAATTAAATTCACATCTAATACATTTTCACTAGAATATCGATTCAATGGAAAAAGCAATGCTTTACGCAGACCTATGTATGGGTAATGGATTTGGACATCCAGTATTGTCCAATAATCTAGTGATGGCCGCGAGAGAGCTAATCGCATGTATGGCGGAAAGTGCAGACGCGGCTGAAGTGTATGCGCTAAAAAAGTGCGTGATTGAGCTGTGCGCCAATGTTCTCCACATTGTGTCAACATACGCCAATCCAATCGCACAACTCAAGTTCTCGATCCACGTAATCAGGCTTATAAATAGAGCTAATCAAATTCTTGCAGATTCAGTCGAGGGACAAACTTTGCACTCGGTAAATTCAGACATTTCAATTTGAATTTAGGCTTGATTCAAATTTCATTTTACTTCGGTCTAGAATAAGGATAAAAGACTACTGGTTGGTGAGCTCGATAAACATCTGTGGAAAGTTGCCGTTCACTGCGTATCAAAGTCTATCAGAGTGAGCCCATTGATAGACACCACATTCAATATGACCAGTGATGTGTTGTATATCGATCTGATTGACAACAAACTGCTGGAAAAGTACTACCAATGGAATATTGACACCTATTCTGATCATCCATTAGCATATTTATACCAGTACAGCCTCATGGAAGGCTCGTGGAAAAGCTGGTTCGATGAGACCAAGTTTGACGAACACAGACGGAAGTGTATCGAACATTTGCTTGGTAAAAATTTGGCTATTTTTTCCGATGAAATTCTAGAAAAAAAATTATTACAACAACTTTAAATAGGTAAAACAAAGATGAGTGAGCTGGACGTGGTTAGAACAATGAAGTCAGAGATATCATGCATAATACCCAATCCTGGTGGCGACACATTCGAATCAAAGCCAATGATAATCAGATGCGAAGAGGGCTGGATTGTGCCTGATAAAAACTACCTGAATATGGGCAAGATGAGTTTCAATTCTGTGGACGGACTGATCATTGACATCGAGCAAGGCACTTTTGAGATAATTGTAAGCACAGACGAGCAGCTTAGCCTCTTATGTGACAGCCAAGACATCGACGAAATCGTTATCAAGGGCCTGTCTCACAGTGTGTTCAGTCTCGATCAAGCTGATTTCGAACTAGACTATCACCCGTTTCAACTGATGCGTTTTTCGCCCAAACGTCTCGAAAATTCTCGATACCTTTCCACTCTACTAGCTGCTGATTATCTGCTCAAAATGATCGCAACTAATACCGAGGTAATTTTCAAATAGTCAGAATATATATACATTGATTATTGAAATGCCTCTAAATACGTGCATCTAGGTGTCAGCGCAAGCACCATTTGAAATCAAGCAGGCAGCCGATGGCTTCCTAAAAGCTTTGCCCTCTGACCTACGAGAGTTTATTATGATGAAAAAATCCACCTCTGATTTTGGAAAAGTCCATCGATTTTGGATAGAGAATGACGATATACCATACTTTAAAAATGTGGATGATAATGGCAAACTAACTTACGAATTTTATTACACAAATATGCTGGTCAAAAAGCATTTGATGAAAAAGAATTCAAATGTGAGGAAGAACAAATTTTTTACGAAATATTCAATGAAAACAGTTGTTATTAGTGAAAATATTTTCTGGTCATAACGTTTATTTTCGAAAAATATGAAAAAAAAAATATTTATTCAACAGGGTGAATTAGTTGATGATGACAGCGAAGATGAACTCACAGATGATAGCGAGGATGAATCGGACGAGATCTCAGCCGAGGCTCGATTTACTCGAAGACTCACTCAATACTACGATCTGATTGGCTGCTATTTCCCAGTGCTGTTGAGGCTGCGAGAATTGGCTAAACTCAGTGCCATTTCCATGATATTGAAAAGTATTTATCATTCGCTGGAAGAGAGCAAAAAGCAATTGACTGCCCCTCGGAATGAAGTTCAAACCATGCTCGAAAATATCAGACGCCAAATAACCTATCCTATTTGCACCGAGCCTAAGGTGAGCATTATTCCAATTTTAAATCGAAATACGATTTTATATAATTTTTACCACATAAATACTCTAGGTTGACGAGTCATACAGGAAATGCTTGCTCGACAATGAAGTGTACGACGATAGCCGAGTTTCCTGGAGTGAGACGATCCGGGTGAAGAACATGATCCGAACTGATTTGAAAAGTGCAGAGGAACAACTGTTGATCGACCTACCTAAACTGTTATCCGAGTCAATGAATTTGGCCAATACTCAAGCACTAGGCCAACATGTTCGCAATTGGATAGAACATGACCAGTGTAATGCCTTAGTCGACTATTCGTGCACAGCTATCTATGAGCGAAAATTAGAACAATTGTCCAAGTTTGGCAACAATCTCGAAAAGCTCGGTGTCAATCTGGTTGCTGATGGTGATACCGAGCTAGATGAATGTGATAGCGGATGCAAGTGGGTACCATCTGCATTCTCCCAACTCATTGGCAAACGTGCCTATGGAGGAGTTTTTCTACGGCCTAAGCTTAGCCCGCAGAATACTAGAGGCTTTCAGGGCTTCCAGGCAAGTTCTAAAAATGCTGGATCCTCTGGTCCTCCCAGCGGTGGCTCCTCTGCTCCTCCCAGTGGTGGATCTTCCTCTCCTCCCAGTGGTGGATCTTCCTCTCCTCCCGGTGGTGGTTCTTCTGGTTCTGCCAAAACTCCCAAAAATAGAAAAGAGTTTTTTGAAAAATATGGACATGGCAAAGGTTGGCCAAATCCACCGATCAGATTGGATGATGGTACTTATGGCGGACAACCTGACACTAGTATGTCTTTTTACCAATGTTGAGAAATACTTTTTGACACGATGATTTTTTTTTCCAGGACACATAACTCACCAAGGTATCCCCATCAAATTTGGTCCTAGTGGTTTGGCTCAAGTGCATAATCCCAGGTGAACAACTTTGTATAGAATAAATATCATGCTTCTTTGAATATATCCATAGTTGACATTAACCATGCTAGTCATATATTTTGTGATTTATTTAATTTTTTTTATTCGTATTTCATAAATTGTAGGTACAACACTAGAAAAAAAGCTATTGACGCAGCCCGTCATGGGAATCGTGGTCGTGACAATGGGACTGTGTTTAAGGATGGCGCTCACGGCAAGAACAGAATGCAGAAGGGAACTGCCAGTGACCAACAGAAGAAAGATTACCTCAACCGAAACAAAAAAGGTGACCACAGCAGCCATGTTCATTCCTCCGACGGGAAAGGTCGTCGCCTCAAAGATGGCGTGCATCACCTTATGCCTAACTGATAACATTTGGTACTCTTGATTTGTAAAACAGCATTTAGCATACGATTAAAGTATTTACCGTAGTATCACTCAGTTTTCGTATTGCCAATGTTGAAAAAATACCAACATGTTTTAATTTTTTTTCAATATTGAGCTTTTTCCGTATGTATTGAAATTTAACATTCAGGACAAAGAAATCAAAAGAAATGATTTCGACGCCAAATGCCTCTTTCAAAATATTCTAATCTCAAAATGCATACATATTTTAAGAGATAGTCTTCAAACAAAATAAATATCAACACTTGATATCGTATTTGGCATTCAAAATTAAATTTACTGATTCGCAAAAAAATGTGAAGAGAACAAAAAAAATGTATTTTCAATTTTTCCACATTCCACATTCCACATAATTAATGCAAATTGAATATTATTTTTATATACCCCGTCCTCGTGCCAAAGCATAGGTGAATATATAAGAAATATTCATTTAAAAATAGTTGTAATTATGAATTCAAAAGAAAATCTGGATTTCTTTACGATCGTTGAAATACAAAATTCCTCACTATCAATTAGTAAATTCGGCGGCCATTCAAACAAATCGAATATTGATTTAATGCAAAAATTTTGACACGAAAAAAATACAAAAATAAAAAAAACGTATGCGATACAGTTTGCGTTGTATCTTCCAAGTTCTAACTTACGATTTGTCACCAGCTAAAAATAATGTTAATTATAATAAAGAAACTCGAATAAAAATCCCAAGCTCATTTCGATAACATGTCTAGACTTTATTTTTATTTCCTTTCGGAATTTTGTGCTCCGTTAAATTATTGCTAAATGCTTGAATAATAATTTTGTTTATTATAATTCATAAATTAAAAAAACTGATGATAATAATAATAAATGATGTGACACATATAATTTATATACATTACATCCCTATAGCTATAGCAAAATATGAAACATTTATTTGAGAATTGTGCTCCACTGGCGTGTATCTCATTTCCATTTAGAACATTTGTCTAGAGTTGTTGAAATTGGTTTTCATTTCCATTAGAATTTGTGTCTGTCAAACGAGTGTGAGTTTACTATTGCATTTTCATGTCTGTTCGACCACGTTTATTTCCGGCGCTGGAATGTATCGCCACACCTGTGCGTCAATCTTATCATCGTCCATGTTTAAGGCATAAGTTTGGGCTAGCGCATTGATTGAATGATGTTCGTCGGTGGTCAGTGAGCCCAGGTGACTGCATTCGATGCTTGTCTTAAACCGGCCAGCCGTGAAAAATATCGCCGAGCACTCGTGCGAAATGGTTTCATTAATTTTTAACGATTTGATATGGATACTGGAATGAGTTTGGAAATATGGATTAGTTTTGATTCGATAATGAAGTGAAGGAAATACCACAAAAACTGCTTACTTATTTGGCCCGGATAAAGCAACTCTCGTTTCCAGTTGATATTTTGATGTGCCGTTTTGATAGTCTTGATAGAATTGAATGGATAGCGTCAGGTCATTCAGTTCTGTTGGCGATTGGTTTTCAATTTCAATGTAAAGGGGAATGTCTTGACCGGTTGTACAGGCGGTTTCAGATATTGCTGGCATTTCCTTGCCATTTATCTTTACATCTAAAAGAAAATAGATTCAAATGTGAATTACAATTCAATTCAAGAACTGGCCAATGGAACTGTGCTCAAAGATGATGAAAAGACCAAAACTTATCACATGTTTAGGCAATAAGAATCTGCAAAGAAAAACTCATTGTACTTACTCCATTTGAGCGGTGCGACGGTAATAATGCTCAACATAGCCGATGACAGTGTGATGCCGCGAAGCGATGCCGTTCCTTTAATTTCCGTTCCAAGAAGTGACCAGTTCAATTGCACTGAATCAGATATGTGGTTTGAACAGAATTGTTGCATCAGATCGGCATCACTCTTCCGCACGTGATAGTCTGGGGAATTAAAATTCAAATTTGATTTTAAAATGTAAATATGTTCCAAATTGATGGACTATTGATGGTAAAAAGTAGATGGAAACTCACTCATTTGATCTTTATCATCATCAATTTGTTGATCGCGCCTAAAAAGCGGACAACGTTCAACTGGAACCGGTACACGACAGCTCTCTCGAGCTTCGATGACAATATTTTTGTTCGTCGTGTAGTTTAGCATCATTTCTTGGGCGGTTAAATTGTTCACATCCAATACCAAATAGAACTCCGAAGATCTGTGCGAGAGGAAATGACGTTATAAGCGGTTAAAATAGATGCATATAACTTGTGTGATATAAACAAAACACCGAGAAAATAAAATCAAAAGTCGTGCATATTCCTTACGTTTCAGCCGGCAAAACGTCCCAATTCGTGATTTGAGCGCTTGGCAAAAATTCCAAATTAAACAGTACAGCACAATTGCGACAAAATCCCTTTTGGAATCCTTCACCGCCTGAATAGCGAAAGCGAAACTGTGCCTCGAGTTGGCGTGCATTCGATCCAGAAGCACCTTGACTGTATGTGACTAGAGACGAATGCCCCGAATTCCCGGAATGTGTTTTCGATCGAAAACTGGAACTAAATTCATTTCTCTTTGGTAAATTGATCGGTGATCCCATGCGACTTGGCAAACTCGTATGACCAGATACCGAAAGACCACTCATTGCCCCGGTCAAACTGTTGTAGACCTCATTTCCCGTTGGAACGCCATTATGTTGTGATGACATGATTGATGGTGCAGTCGCTGCACTGCCACCGGCTATTGGTCCCAGAAAATCAGCATATCCAACAATTTTTAATTTAATTGTCAGCGATTGATTTGGTTTAAGCGGCATTTGCGATTGAATGTCTTCGGATGACCATGAAAAAACTAAATCTTGTGTTTTCGAATCTAACGATGACTGCATCGACTCCTCGAGATGCTCTATTATTATGTTACTACTGTTTATCAATGTCAAAGTACATTCAGTCGTTTCGCCGCAATAGAGCGTTATATTGGTTGACGTGATAACGTTGTCAGTGTTTGTAATACAAGCTAATGTATCCATTGGTAGGCACGATGTTCGGATTTCAAGCTTTGGAAGAGCTGGAATCACGTCTACACTGAACGATGGAGGAAATTTCGACAGACGATCACGATCTTGATTCATGTGCTTTAAGCGACAGTTCGATTTTACACCCAGTGTATGCGTACTGTAGCCGAGTATTTCGAGTGATCCATGCTCGATTGGTGTTCCTCGCAACGTAATCGTTGTGGCAGATAATGCTGACAGCACGGTTGTCTCTGGAAGCGACTCGAACACAATTCCATTGGTTAAAAGACGCATATCGAACACTTGCAATTCATATGGAAGGGGATTTTTTAAAGTCACAGATACATCACACGTTTCATTTTGGACCCATTGGAATGCTGAACGATAGAAAGAAGGATATGGTATTAAAATTCAAGTAATTTAAATATTGGACGGTTGAACATATATACTTACATATTTTACCGTCATTCTTCTTCGATCGACGGTCAATTGAATTGAAATGTATTGGCGTAAATAGAAACGGCCCAGTGTCAACTTTGACGATGGTCGTTTTGTGTGGTCGTAAGTGTGCTGCCAAATTCTTCACCCTTAACTGTTGACAAAATGGCAAATCGGTTAGATTGGCCGGAGGGATGACGGTGCCGTCTTCTAAGACGAGTGGAACTGGAGCACCTTCACATTGTGCGCTCAGGCTCTGAAATTGGAGGTAGACAAAAGATATATAAGTTATTCACAATTTGGCGACTTTTAGATGATTCAAGCGCTGAACAATAATCAAAATATAAACACTTCCACCGAGCTAAGGCACTAATCCTCAATCAAAACACGCTCTTACCTGAAGTTGCAATGAAAATTCCTTTTGTTCGTTCGATGATAAATGCGACCACATAGTTTGTAGTAAAAATGTCATGTGCCGTGTGGCGAGTGCTGAGTGGCCGATCCTCCTCGCAGCTGCCACAAGCTGCTGTAATAAATCGATTTGCAAACATTTCCACCCTGCATTATTCCCAATGACTTCCAATGGATCCAACGACAGTTTATGTCCCGGAAAGCTTTCGAGCATTAGCCGATAACTTTTATGCCAATCGGGATTTGTGTTGCTCTGTGCAACGTGTCGCCACGATGCCAAACGTTGGCAAAATGCCGCTTTTCGCGTGAATCCAATGCGTTGATACAGTTCAGTCAAAACTTCGAACCGCTGCACACGCTCCTGTTCAGTCAAATTCAAATTGATATAGAGTACATTCTGTAGGAAAACTGCAACGTCCAAATAACGATACTGTTCGATGCAAATGCGAGCCGCTTTCAACGCGGCTTCAGTCTCAATAATGCCAGCATGTCGATATTTGCTGTAATTAATGATCGCCTCACGGTACCTAGCCACAAAATCGCTTGGCTGCAGCACATTCGATGGATTGTTATTGCTCTGAACTTTATCATTGGAAACGGTGTGATTCGTTGACGATGGCGAACTTGCCGTTGATGAACCGGAAACGGTCGATGTAACCGATGATGCTGACGATGTGGACGATGATGATGTGAGTGTTGCCAAATGGTTAACCTTGAGTGAAGTATCGGTTTCCAAAGTAATGGCTAAATTGGATTTCTTGTTGAGTATTTGTTCGGATAAATTCTCCTGGCTCTGGCTCAATGAACGGGCTATGCTCAATTTTGTCGCTGAATTTTCTTGAAGACTAGCATTCCGTTGAAATGACATGGTGTATCGAACGTGTGGATACAGTAAAATTGCCGATGCAGCACACAGACCTTCGTTGGCCGCACCCAGCCACAGTGAATCGCTGATGGCACGTAATGTTTCACAAGCAGCATGAAATAGATTCAAACTTTCCGCTACTAGACCCGCTTGCAGCGTTAAATCGGCCAAATTTTTCGTTACACGACCAACGCATCGTTTTCGCATATTCCGTGTGTCCATGTCCAAACCGACAAAGTCTTTTTTCTCAAATGGTGCCAGCAACAGTGGCACTTTATCCAATTTTTCATGCGAACGCTCCAGTCGTTTCTTCTCTAATATCCAGAATAGAGAATTGATGAAATCCGTTAAAAACGCTTCCAAGTCAGAGCATGGCCCATTTTCAGCGTAGAATGTGACATTGCTTTTGAAATTTGATGGAGTTGAGAATGAATTTTTCAGTATTTTACTATCCAATGAATCATCGTTCGATTGAGTATTCTCGTTATTTTTTGAGCTATGCTTATCACTATCGCTTGGCATTAAGTCTCCGGTACTCAACAGTACTGGATCTTCATTCTCTGTGCTTGCATTGTTTGCCGATGCGAACAGCACACATCGTGAGTCGAACAATGTATTTGTGTATTTCACTTTGAGGGATTCATGTACGCGACACATTTCATTCAATTCCGATTGTGAATCAAATTTTCCCACCGTTATCAAACCGAGCAGACGACGATGCGTCTGAAAATCACCCCATTCATTATTCTCCACGGGATAGTCGCGTACATAACGAACCCAAATATCTCTTGTATTTCCTACCGAGTCTGTTGTTGAAAATGAAATAAAAACAAACGAAATGGTTGAAATTGGGATGGTCCAACGGTATATAAACATCATTGATTCGATTGATACCTTTGATTTTCACATTGTTCACATGTTGAATACGTTCAAAAATCTTCTGCAACGATCGTGGTTTGGACGGTCCAATGCCACGAATTAATATCAACAGGCATGAGTGATGATAAGCTTGTTGTTCATAGTCTGGATGTGACATACTGTTTTCAAGGTTGGCCAAAACAGAAACAAAAATATATGTGTGTCAATTATCGTATGTAAACACATGTGTTTTCGATCATAAATATGTTTTACTTGCCTTGGCTCACCACCACCATGCGAAAGCATATAACTAACTGATGATCTCATTTAAATTTTGGCAATTGCACTCTTATTAGTTTTGCGAATACATTCAGCTTATGTAGATTTCTTTTTTTCTTCTTTTCTTATGTCTTCTACTACTGATATATGTATCAACTGAACCAAAAGTTTTGAGTGGAAAATTTAGACAATTACAAAAACAATAGACTAAAAAAACAAAACGAACTCAAATTGATTGCTAACAAACAAACAAACAAACAAAACAATAAATTATATTGGTTCTGTCATCGTAAGCATTGCATACGGATAGAATAGATTTTTCGATTACGTGTCTGCCCCCTTTTTCCGCGCACAGATTTGCATGAATTCATATCATTTTACAGACGATGCAACTTTAAATAAACGTTAAAACGTTGTGCACATGGTTTTCACTGAATTTGATTTCTTTGGAAGCAAACGCTTCAATACTTCATGGTCCGTTTAGTTCCGTGTTTTTCGGTTTTGGTTATTCTTATTTATGTTCAAAACAAAAGAATGAAAAATCAACACAAAATAAATACGATTTTACATTCGACACCTTGAACTCTAAAATATGTCAATTTAGTTCATTTTTTGGGTCATCTTGACTATCTATCATCTGGCGCTATGCACATATTCACGCAGACATATTCTAATCGATTGACAGTGACATCTATCGGACGGCAGAGATGAGTATGGATAAAATGATGATAAAATTTCATTTCATTCAAAGTAGTATGTGAAAATTTTTTCCAACTTCATTTGAACTTTTCATGATAAAAACGGACAACTACCTGCGACGACAGGAAAAAATCCGGAAAAGTTTGAAAAACAATACAATCAATCCAGTCATAATTTAAATGACCCACTTGGCAGTTGTGCAATATATGTCGTTTCGTACTAAAACCAATACATACACACAAACACAAACAGTCCGAACAAGGAATGTCTGTGCATCGTCGCGAGTGTTCGGTTTGTTTTCATGTTTGCTAGCGCATTTTGTTGTCATACAGTTGGTACAAATGTTTAAACACAATTCATAACTTTAGTAGATGCACTTCATTCCTAAACTGCACCAATTTCCACACTCGTTCGCCTTCATTTCACTTTATTTGAGCATAATTTTTTTCTCTTTATCTTCGCTTCATTTTCTAATCACATTTCATTCAATGCATTAGCTACTTTTTTAATTTCGTGCATTTTATTTCTGAAACTGTATCACAAACGTAAGAAAAAACATCACAAAAATCAGCTAAAAATTGAATCATGTTGAAATATTCATTTGTGTATTTCATAGCAATAGTGTTCGGTGAGTTGTTAAGAGATGAAATCACAGTGCATCACACTGCATATTGGGTTGCACTCAATTTGGGACATACGCTAATTGATTCTAATTTCCTTTGATTTGTTCTCCGTTTTTTTTCTTCTCTATTCGATTTAGTTGCTAGTTTCGTTGAATGTGGTGTGTTCGGTCGATCTTCACAGCTATCAAGTGGTGGCGTTCAAAGTCGTACGGGATACAATCAAGCCGGTGCTAGTCAATACGGCAACTACAACTATAATACCAATGTGAATAGTAACAGTAACATTGGCAATCGGAGAAACTCATATGTTAATCAAATTGATCAGCCACAAACTGGGACAACGAACAAGAATTTTCCACGCACTAGCTCCGGTCTATCGGCCTGGGGATTGATCACAATTATTATGTTGATCATAGTAATCGGAATGGGTGGATATTATGGAATAATTTGCTATCCATTGATCTGTAAAGAGGAACGAAATTATGACATTATGGATGCAGCATCCACAACGGCTAGCGCCAATACGCCCACTCGTTCGGGAGACTTTGAAAAACCAGGCAACTATAGTTCACGATCAACAACACCAAGTGTTATCATCAACACATAATCCAAACAGATTTTACCATAGCAATTTTGTTCAATCTTTTTTTGGTGGTGTGATTGGAAATCGAAATACCGTCGTTTTATATTTAAAAAAGAGGAAGAAAAAAATTTAAAACAGGATTTGAAACTTAATTAGTCTCCCAACGGAAAATGTTACATGCATTTTATTTTTTCAAATGCAAACCAAGCTAACTATTGTGAAATGGAAAACAATTCTTTCGGCCATATGAAATCCACGTATGTTTCCTTCTTTATTGGTTTGGATTAGTCTCACTCTCGCGCGCGCAGCAGATTATTTAGTGATTAGGTATTTAAGACTGAGAAATTTCAACTTTTTACATTCTCACAAGTATTTTATTGACAATTTTACAAAAAAAAAAAAAAAAAACAAAACAAAACGAAAAAGAAATTCGCCGAATTTTATGATGCATTTCATTTCAATGACCATTTTTTTCCTTTCATTTTTGACACTTAACTTTTTTCTAGACCTTTTGGTAATAAAAGCGATCTACTAAACAAAAATGTTCATCTTTGTTTTTCTTCTTATTTTATAAAATGAAACACTTGATTTCGTACGAAAAAAAAAACACATAGAATATTTATTTTTGTTTGAAATTTCTTAGGTACAGCGTACAATCTAGTATCAGTTTTCCATTTTTAAATTATAGATGACTTTAAAATTACTACACATTTGTTCCGATTCGGAGTAAGTAAAATGTAAGTGGCAGATATTTTACTTGTTGTGAGCTCACTGTTTTTGGTTAGTTTTCCAATTGTTTTTTTTTCATGTTAAACAATTTTAATGGTGAGAAATCAGCGACAAATGTCATTCACAGTCTAAAACTATAGTTCGAAGACCCGATTCAGTGTTTGTGCTTAATCTACGTTGTGTTAATTTACAGCTCGTCTTTTTCATCAAGAACAACATCGGACAAGTCGATGTCTTCTTCTTCGGGTAATTGACCATCTTTGCCATCCCATGCTTCGTTGGTGTTCACTTTTGGTACGGTTGCACCACGAACGGGAGCAGTTTGACCACGACCAAACGAAATATCACGCAAAAATTCGTAGATTCCCTCGGTTGAGAATGAACCACGCAATGAGGTGTACTTGAGTTTCTTGTAGTTGACGGCCGCCATTGCTGGATAACCAAAACCACCGATCTCAAGAGCTTCTTCGACATGTGGTTGGGCACCACCTTCAGCCCACACCCATCCCCATGATTGTTTCTTGAATTTCTCGGCGGAATTTTTGAGAATTTTGATGTAATTGTTACGGCATTTCGAATCACAGTCCAAAATGTGTGGCAAAACTGATACAACGCATAATGCCTTGTTTTCACAGGCTTTCTTTGCTACTTCTTCTGATGTTAGCTCGTAGACTTCTGGAGCAGGAATGCTGTTAGAGGAAAATGAAAAGATTTGGTTTTAGATTGAGATCAGAAACGTTTTTTTTCTTTCGCTTTCTTTGTGATTTTCCACGCTTTTGCTAGAGAGAATGTGATTTGTCTTGAAAAATGAATTGAAAATGGTGAATTCATTGACCAAATTCAATAGCTGTTAATCTCTTACCTTTCTGTATATTTTTCCAATGCCCAGTTTACAATGTCACCTGATGTGCGGCCACCATCATAGTCGACAGCGTCACTTCGTGATTTGACACCGCCTGCGAAGAATTTAATTGTTGGATATCCTTGAACGCCGTATTCTTGGGCTTTGGATGGATGAGCTGTGGCGTCCAATGCTCCGAGTTTAACCTTCCCTTTCAGTTCTTTGGCTGCCTTAGCCCATTCTGGTGCCAAATTCTTGCAATGACCACACCATGGAGCGAAGAACTATTGACACGAAGAAGAGAAAACGAATTAGTAAACAGAAAAATCTTGATTGAATGCAAAACATCTACAATAGAAATCTGGTTTGAATGCAACAGAAGTGATCAAAAATGATCAAAATCGAAAGAGATTGGCCAGAAAGTGTTTCTCTGCTTGAACCAAGAGAAAAAGAAAAATGGAATAAAAAGATGAAACATTGGTGGTTCATACCTCAACAAGCCAAACATCATCACTTTGCAGCACCAATTTATCGAAATTCGAGTCAGTCAATTCAATAACATCACTGCTTCCTCCACTGCCTCCGCTGCTACGGCCACCTAATTTCTCTGTTATCTTCTTTTTAGCTTCAGCCAATGCAGCATCAGCGATGGCTTGTGCAGTTCTTTGCTGGTTATAATCGACTGGAGACCGTTTATTGGCACCGAAGATTTTGATCGTTGGGAAACCTAACAACAAAACAAAGGATCCGAGTTAGTCTTTTGTAGTCATTGAAATGACATTCACAGAATTGCTTTTCAACTGCTATTTCAGTATTTCTTTCTCCACAAAGAATTTCAAAACTGATCCAAACTAACAATTCGTCGGTTATTTGAAAGCAATTCAACATACCTTGAACTCCATATTGTCCGCCGAGTGATTTGTGTTCATCAGCATTTACAGCGCCAACTTTCACGATACCTTTAAGAGCGGTAGCGACTTTGGAATATTCTGGAACAAGTTGTTGACAATGACCGCACCACGGAGCGTAGAACTAAGAGCAAAAACGAATAAATTGTTGATATTCGATTGGATTTCTTCAAATTGCGTTGATTTACTCACCTCTACTACCCAAATTTCATCACTTTGAATGACCAACCGATCGAAATTGGACGATGTGAGCTCGACAACGTCGCCCTTTTCATAAAATGCAAACGTTGGCACCAAAATGGCGCAAACTGTAAAACACAAACATTTTTAATCGGTTTTACTTGGTGATTTGAAAATTGTCTTGCAATAAATACTCACGTAAAAGAAATACGTTAAATTTATTCATATTTCTACTGGAACCAGCCCACGTAGATTTACAAAATATTATCTGCGGCAAGAAAAAAATGTGGCAAAATTTTAATGAAATTACAATCAAATTCATACGAATGATTTGAGAAAGTTCTAGTGCATTGCTTAATTAAGTGTAAATATTGAAAATGATTTGCGATATTTACCCGACAAAATGAAATTCAATGACGAAATTACGAGAACAATATAGATTACGGTGTGTTTACGATAAATGCCGACTGATATATGGTCCGTCTGAGCTTATTGTGTTCGCTACACTATTCACAAGTGCTGGTGAGCTGTCAATAAACCGTGGTGCATTCTGATTGGTCCAAGTATTCGTATACAAATGAAACGGACACAGTGCGACCTCTAGTGAAAAAATGCGACAAACTAATCAAAATTAAAATTTAGAGGCTTTTCTCGTTATGTGCATTATGACTAATATTAATAATTCAAAGGAAAGGGGGTTTGTATGCGTTTTTCTACAAATATATGATAAAATTTACTTGGGAATTTTATTTGTAGCTGATCTTTGTACTTTGTCTGGACTTATTTCGCGATATTCCTTTCAAACATTCCGAGTTTAACATCCAACGATCAACACCCACACACATATATGTGTATACACTTCTAATGATTCAACGTAATTCCCCTGATCTGTCACTTACTGTTAATATTTTGTTAGTATCCAACAATGAGTTCGAGACCAAAGTGAGTATATTTTATACGGATTTGAATTTAATACGAATTTGTTAGTGTAATTTGAATTTAACGTAAAATTTGTTCCAATTCCAGAGCTAAGCGCAGTTATAACAAAGCTCCGTGCAATGCTTGCTATTCGCCGGAAGAAATTGGTGAAAATCATGAACAATTTGGTGATCCTTTGGATAAGTCCCACCTCGAAACAACCAAACATAAATTCATAACGACTGTCACAAAAGATCAAGTTGATTTATCGAAAATTAAGCCACAGAACAACCAAAGCCAATCTGACGAATATTATGTTCAACGTGAGGAACATAAGCGCATGAGCAAATTGAACAATAAAAAACCATGGCTAGATGTGAGGTTTTGTAAAAAAAACCAGGATTACGTTCATTATTGCAATTATTGTGACGATTTTATATTGGGTGTCACTCTAAGCAAACATGAACAATTGGACAAACATTGGAAGAAATTTCAAAAGCGTTTTATGACCGATTTGAGTCATTTGTTATCAAAAAGTAAGTAAAAAGGAGTGAAGATATTATTTATGTATGATCATCAAATGATTGTTTTCAAAACACCTTTCTTTTTAAATCAAGGTAGTACGAAATTGGACCATTCCGTGTTTGAATTCACACAAAAGTATACTGGTATCGAGTTGGAAGATGCAAAAGCCTTTTATCGCAGTCATTCAAATCAAATTAGGATCAAAGGGATCAAAGATGATGCAGTCAATGAACTGAATGATAGTGGAATTGAAATTTCAATCGCAAATAATAATAAGTCAATTGGCGATGACCAATCAAATTTACTAATGGTAACGTCTACTCCGAAAAAATCTGCACCAAAAATTGTGTCACCAAAAAAAGTTCCGAAAAAAACTTCAAACGCCAAAAATGTAGAAGCAAAGACTGCGTATGTGAAAGATATGCACACATCAACGGAAGTTTGTAAAACCGCTTACACAGATACCGTACGAATGTATTATCAGAATGTGAACAGCATTAAAAGCGATGAAAAAATGAAGAATTTTGTCGCCACATCCGTTAGTAAATATGACGTGGTGATTTTCACTGAAACATGGTTGAACGACGCCCAAGCATTAAAACATAACATGAGCGGTTTTAATGAACATTTCGATGTTTACCGCCGTAATCGTTCTGAAAGTGTTAAATCTAGAGGTGGTGGAGTACTGGTGGCTGTTTCAGCAAAATTGTACAGTGACCCAGTACTTTTGAACAGATTCAATCATCTGGAATATGTTTGCTTGCAATTTTTGAATAATAACAAATCCATTTTCCTATACTGTGCTTACATTCCACCTGATTCAACTATAGACATTTATGCAGACCACGTAAAGGCAATTCGTTCCATTAATTTGCGCAAAGATGACCTTTTAATTGTAGTCGGCGATTTTAATTTGCCAAACTTTGATTGGCATACGAAAGATAATAAAACTTTTTGGCCAGAGATGAACGGCTCAGTCAGAGAAACTCGTTTACAAACACAAAAATTTCAACTCCTTAAGGAATTGCAATTAAAATGCAAGCTGTATCAATTCTGCAATGCCAAAAATCACAAAGGCAATGTTCTTGATTTGGTCTTTTCAAATTATACTGATCACATGTCTATTGGTGAATTGCCGGAATCACAAAAACCCATGAGCAAACATGACGAACGCCATGCACCCCCATTTGAGATCATCATTAATTGTGAACATTTTTCAACGAAGAAAGATTCTAAAAGTCATATACTTGATTAAATATTTGAAACATTCCCCAGAGTAAATATGATCGGTTGTTTGTGGCAGGTAATGACAGTTACAAAGTTCAAATACATGTTTGCTTGCATTCAAGGTTTATTTTACTTTATCTATTGATAAAAAAAATGTCAAAACTTATTGTTCTAAACTCCATTGGAAAACATTTAATTTCATAAGAAGAGATATAATTTGTTCATGGAAGCAACTAATTTTCGAGAATAGAATAAAACTTTGTCTAACTTGTAAAATAGACAAATAAATGAAGCAAACTCAAATTCAAAAGAATTCATTTTCAACGAAAATCTCAATGATAAATTTCCATTGATCAAGTATGGTTTTGGATGCTGGTTTCTCATATGGTGTCATATTGTCGGCTATATCATTGGCAAGATATGCAGTTTGATCATCCTTTGTGATTTTAGCCCTGACAAATAGGCGGAATAGTGTGAATTTCGCCTTTTTTCGAATCTCTGCCCACATCCTACAAAAAAAGACTTTTTTTATAGCTCTTTTAGCTCATTCAATAGAAAAAGATGCATGTACGAATTTCGTACTATGAAAATTCTTAAGATAAAAAAAATGTTCATTGCTAACTTTTCAAATGTGTATTCCTCCATTGAGCATCCGGCAAAATCAATTGTTTTGAAAAACTCCAAAAAGTAGTGTTCGATGAATGTTTTGAAATTCGTCTTTAAATCTTCGTTTTGAACACTCGTGAATAAGAAAAAGATCAAATCCAAAACGAATGATTCATAGCCGCATAATTGAAAATCGTAAAATTTTACTTTTGTTGGTTTTGAATTATCATCTAGAAGCAGAGATTACTATGAGATATTTTTATTCATATGGGATAGAAATATCACATAAAAATAACAGATATTTTTCACGCGTTGCGTTCAACGTTCAACGTTCAACGCGTTCAATGTTCAGAGTCCAAAAATATCTAATATTTTTCGCGCGTGTGTGTTCAGCGAAACGCATAAATACACAATAGCGATTCTGCACACACAGAGTCGCTGTTTTTTCGTTATACTCTTCCCAATGAGGAAAACGTTACAGTTGTACACATTTTGTGCACGGCCAATGTAATTTCTCCATAAGCTGTGAATTCACACTTACGATGAGCTGCGCGGAGCGTGCATGCACATGTTTCGCTCACTTCTTTCTTTGAAAACTCTTCGTGTGTCAACACAATGTCTGTGTGTGTATCGCTTGTGCCGTCGTTTGTAAACGACGTCAATGAGCTGCGCGATGCATGCATATATATGTTTTGCTCTTTTCTTTCGATCGACACTCTTCATACCCAGCTCATTGACGTCGTTTACAAATGACGGCACAAGCGATACACAGACATTGTAAGCTCATCGTAAGTGTGAAGAGTATAACGAAAAAACAGCGACTCTGTGTGTGCAGAATCGCTATTGTGTATACACACACGCGCGAAAAATATTAGATATTTTTGGACTCTGAACAATAAACGCGTTGAACGTTGAACGCAACGCGTGAAAAATATCTAATATTTTTATGCGATATTTTTATCCCATATGTTTAAAAATATCCCATAGTAATCTCTGTCTAGAAGAGAAGAGCACGGCTTTTTGTAAAAAAAAAATTTGATCTATAACTTTTTAGTCTTTAAAGTGCACCTTGTTTGATCATAATATTGTTGATCCAGAAATCTTTGTTCACAACAGTTGTATAAGGTGTATCAATGGTCCGAGCTGAGCAAGCATAAAATTCTTTGCTCAATCTTATGCTATTCACAATCGTAGTACGCATTTCAGGTGAAATATCATCAATTAACGGCAATTCTTTGCAGATTATCTTGGACAAATTTGCGAAAATTGAGAATGAACAAACTAAATATTCGTAACGAATTATATTTTACTAAAAATAAATCAAGTACAGTATGCCCCCGCAAATTAGAAATGAAATGTCCCGAGACCATTTCTAATTTGCGGAGTTTTCTAATTTCTGAGGTTTTTTCAATTTCATCCAAAAACGGTGTATCAAATGAAAAACTGATAGGGGGAATGATTTGCTTAATTGAAAACAATATATTGAACACTGTTCAATCAAGTATTGTGTGTAAATAGCAGTTATTTTAGTGATTATAAATATATAGTAAGTCTGTTAGTTACTGGATAAACTACTCATCGGAACAAACCGAAATAAATGATGACCTATCTTACGATAGTAAACAGAAAACGTTAGCATTCTATATACAATTTTGTATATGCAAATTCTCTGATGGAACAAATCAGTTTCGATTTGTTAATGATTGATGATTGATGATTGACGCAGACAATATGGAACAGATTACTTCGTGACTTAATTTTTAACTTCATGGTAAACGTCGAAAATCTCAAGCTGATCTGCTAATATAGTTATTCAACGAAATGGAAAAGACTTTCATCATGTTTTTTCATTAAAAATGAAGTAAATTTCCCTTTGTCTTGAATTAAATGATTCGGAAACTCCGTAAATTAGAAATGAACCCCGGAAATGAGAAATTTTCCATACAAATTTTCAAACCTGAAATTCATTTCTAATTTCTGAGGTTTTTTAATTCTCGGGTTTCTAATTTGCGGGGGCGTACTGTACTTGGAATTGATAGTCGTCATTTGAGGTTGAGTTAATAAGTTCCAAATAAGGATTCACTTTTTTATCGAAAAGTTCTGGCCGAAGTCGTCTCATTGCAATACATAATGCATGCATTTTTGCCAGATTCTGAAAAAAAAACACTAAATTTAACTTTTCCACGATTTATAGAGTCAATAATGTAAAAGATAATTCAAGAGAGAAGTGAATTGGGCAGCATGTGTAATGATTATTTTGAAATAATTCCGAACCAAATAAAAAATAATAATACCTTTAAAATCACAAATGTTTCTTGAGTATCGAAACCAATATGTTTATCACGAGTGAAATAATTCTGGAATTTCATATTTTGAAGTAGCAAAACGGCGTCGGAATCTTCATTTTCGGCAACTGAAATCATAAAGGCTATTATGGTACATTCTCCTGAGAGGAGATCTCTCCTCAAGGCTCTACTATTAGTTCATTCTCGTAGCGAAACATTCTGTACATGCTTATACCAATGTTCAATGAAATTCTGGACGCAATACATGGAATAAATGCATCCAATCTCTTCGCCTCCGGTACATTGGCAAGCCGTTCGAATTCTTCTATTGCTGGGATCACAATCGAATAGAATCTTATTTCTTTCATTAGACACCATTTTGGCTGCAATAAAGTACTCCGATTTGTAAGTGGTGTTTTGGCAACGAAATGATAAATTTCATGCTAAAAACGATTGAATTATATTTGCTTAGTGACCATTTGTCGTGAATTTGGGATTAAAGAGTACTCACTTTATCCGGATCATATTCTGCAGACACTGTGACTTCAACCGATTGCAATATAGCTCCAAAGTTGTGTCCAGACTTTGTAAGAGGCTTCAGCGTATAGTCCAAAACTTTTCTTTTGAGATTTTCCTCTAAGAATTCGGTGAAGTACCTGATTTCACTCAAGGGCTTAACCTCTTCTGACATCTCGTCTTTGGTAAAATGAATGGTTTCACTTTGAATTATTCAAAAAACACAGCACGCAACGGGATTGGCTTGGTTTTTATATAGAAAATCAAAACCCCAAAGCAGGGGTTTTTTATTACAGCAGTTATCTTATTGCTACATAAGCTACAAGGATTTCGGTTTAACGATAAAACCATTTTAAACACAAAATGCAGATAGGTAGCATTAGGTTTTTGCACGCCAAATAGATAGCGTATCAAAAGTTCATAAAATCTTTTGCGATATTTGATTGGAACGGATGCAAAAAAAAAAATCGCTGGTTTTTTAAAGAAGATAAAAACAAGAAAACAAAGTGGTCTGGTTTTATAATATTTTCGAGTCAAATCGTAAATAAATTGTTTGTAGAATGCAAAGTATAGGATGAAGGAAAGCATATCAACGGTTGACTGGTTTCATTTTTGCCGGAATACACTATGGTTGGAATCTCCGGCAAACGTGCTACTTCAGAAATAAACCGCATCAAGAACACGCACTTCGGCATCCGTATTCGAGCATAAGCAGTAGGATATTTCAACTGCGACACACAACGAATTGCTATAATAGTTTAGTGGATTCATCAATGAAAATTATATTAAAATGAACAAGAAGAGTACAAATTGTTTTTCAATTCAATTTCAGATGTATAACAAAGAGGACATTCAACGACTATGCCATTCGCAAAGTGCGTATAAATATACAAAGTTGCAGTTCTTCAAAGAACACACAAAGCAAACATTTGTATGGTTTTGACCCAATTTCTCAGCGATTCGTCAATGAAATCACAATCAATTTTATGTTCGCTCGAGCGAGTTTCTAATTTTCGACATCGACTAAAAAAAATTCCAATTTGACTTAAATACCGAAATCAAAAGAGAAAATAAATATAAAACTAATGCACTTTTGGATTAACGAAAAATTGTACATGTTCACAGTGTGCCTGTGCATTCGAAAGTAGCACAGCAAAGAGAATGATCGATGAAACCCGAAAAGCGAATCAAATTTAATATATCAATGGATCAAATCGCCATGGTATTAACGCCGCTCGATAGTATCATGTGCATGGGCTGACTCAACAACACTGCGATGGAATGAATGCAACGCATCCGATCGATCGCTTTCTTTCTGTTCACATTACACAATGCACGCATTACATATTAATTTCCCGTTCTTTTTTGGTGAATAGCTTACCGTTTACGGTTCATTATCGCTTATTACTAACGATTTTCACCGTCTTTTTTGTGAATTTCTCTTTTGTATTTCAAATGCACGATGCACTTTGTTGCTAGATTTACCGTTAGATTTTTAGAGATTCCCTTTTTTGTTATAACTTCGGTTCGAATCATTCGCACGCATTCTTTGTTAGCTTGACCGAATGAGTAAGGTGCAATATGGTGCGACATCAATTCAAAAAGAGTTGAACTTTCATTCTTTGGTTGCGGTGCACATCGGCATGAAATTTTTCTGATCATCAAATTCGGGTTTTTGATCATCGAATTTCGGGTATTTCGAATGGAGTTCAACGACCCAATCAAAACGTTGAAACCAATGGACAAAAAGTAAGAAAAAAACAACAAAATTAACAAACTAAAAACGATTTCACATTTCCGATTGTGCATTTTTGTGTATGACGGGAAAAAAAATAATGTACAATCGTCTGGTGGTGATATCAATGCAGACAGCGTAAATTTTGCAGTCGAATGACTTGTTGCCTAAAGAGCAATAGCACATAAGTTTTGGGTAGCAGACAAAATGATACGAACGAATTACGAATATTCGAAAGAATTTCGTGAAATGATGTGCATTTTTTGGCTAATGTCCTGCGATGCATAAATATTTATTTTGCAAAACAGAGAGATCGAAAACCGGTTTAAACTGACCATACGAAATTTTAATCATATTGTGACAACGACCGCATATCACTGCCTCCTATCGAATATTCGGGAAGTGTCGAATTTACTACAAAATATATGGGCAAAAAAAATACACCAACCACAAACTTGTGACGCACAAACCAATGCAGAGAAAGAAAACAAAATGATAAAACTTTTAGCGTATGGCATTGAGGTTGGATCAAAGCAATTAACAAAAATTGTAATTTTGTCGCATACAAGCAAGTTAGAAAAAAAACGATCCGCAATCTAATTTAATTATTGCGTCAAATTACAAAAATTCATTTGCATTGATGCGTTATTGCAATAGACAAGCTTGCGCGCTTAGAAATGCCGCTTATCTGTTTGCTAGATTTTAAGCATGTCAAGTACTTGTGCCGCTAAAATGTTTCCATTCATTGAATCGGCTAGCGTATTGAATGAATATGCTGTAATCGCTCTGTACGTCGTGAGCGAAATGCCAATATAATCAGTGTCATTATTCAGGTCTAACCGCGTTGAGGTAGGTTATTCATGCATATTTATTGCAAATTATTGCGATAAGAATGCAATGTTTTTTTTTGACGTTTTCAAAGGCGTTTTTCGCAGCCCATTTTTTTCACTCGCTACGCGCTGGCGCTAGTAATACCGAAAAAAATATTCAATTCGTTCTGAGAATGTTTGACAATAACCTTGAGCACGGTCAAAGTCATCGAAAAGCTGAACCCTGAGTAACAACAAATAGCTCTTTCAAATACGGTTAAATTAATTCGGAAAGTTTTTGACACATGGATTTTGGATATTTGTTGAAAAATACGTATATGAACTTTGGCAGATGATGTGTGCGTCATCGGAATTTCTTTGCTTTTTTCTGTTTATTTTCATTTTTTGTTACTTCTTTATATAACAAATCTTGATTCCTAATAATATTTGTTTTGGCATTTTTTTTCTACTTGGCCCTTTAAAAATATTTCATTTTGTGGTTAAGTGAGAAAAAAATGCAACTCCCGCCGATAAACTTGACTTGATAACACCAAAATACATGCTGCTATGAATTGCATCGTCAGACTGCGTTCTAATTTACATGAGACAACTACGTCTTAGAATATGTGCAACAATGACAACGTCAACGAAACGCATAATACAAACAAATGCTGCCTGAAACGTAAGTATGACTAGACGAATAGACACAGTTTTCGGACTGATAACATTTCACACATAAACTGGAGCACTTTTTGTTTGAATATTTTCTCAACAAAGTTGACAACGTAAGGGAAAAAAAATATATATCAATTTTATTCGAATATTCTGGAAGTAAAAAAGTGTTGACCCTTTCGGTAATATTTCCATATTGACCTATTGCGCATTTGATTTTCTAAATATTTGCTTAGTTGCTGCGACAAAACAACATTGTTTAGTCATTTGGCCAAAGTGATTTTCTCTTCCGCAGTGACAAGCAACAAAACAAATTCACTGGGAATAGTTTTTGCTTTCGTTACAAAGTGAAAAGAGAAAAAAAAACCCAAACTATCGAATCGAAATCTGTGTGGAATTGTTGACATGATAATGACGCCAGTCACAGTGTCTATTAAGCAAATTTGTTTATTTTGAGCAACAGAAGCGGTAGCAATCGTCATCCAAAAATCAGCATATAATTGGCTTCTTGTACACTTTGTCTAAATTTGTTCACCCGAATGCAAATTGCTTTTTGTCTCTGGCTGAGAAAGAATTAAAAATAGCTCTAGGAATTGAAGTTCGAAAATTTGTTTCATAAAATATTCATTCAGACAGGCGAAGAAAAAATTCGGCTATTTTTTCCCTTTAGAATTGAAGCCATTTGAATTGGAAATAAAGCATTAACAATGAACCAAATTTCGGTTTTGCAACATTTGTGTGCTTCTTTTTGATGGTAGTGTGTTCCTGTGAATAAGATTTCGGAGTGAAATGCCGAGCAGCTCGTCATAAGCATACTACCATCAACAAGAACATAAGCACACGCATCCATCTCGTCATCTTGCAGCTTTGAGAATGCATCTCTGATCAGAGGGTCCGGGCCGTTTACGGAAAGTAACAGCTACCGATTACCAATGCATACACATAATAGAACGCGATCAGCTTTATTTTCTCTCTCAGAATGTGTGTATTACGTTCATGTTGTTGTATTTTTTTTTTGTTTGTCCCATTCACTCGTCCAAAAATCACCTCAACACATAAACATACAAATAAGATGATTTTGTAGAATGACCCGAGAAAAGAGTTGTTATTCTCGTTGCGTTTTTTGTTTGTGTGTTGAAGCTCTTCGTCACTGATCTGATATAAAAAAGAGATGATTCGCTCGGAAACTTCATCAGAATCGATTTTGTAGCTGGTGTTTACAGATCGATTTCTCAGTCAGCGCACACTCATTTTGGAAACGTTCTTTCCTTTTGCTATTCGTTGTTTACAACAACAAAAAGTTCTTGTTATTTTTGTTCACATTTGCATCATTGAAAAGCTTCGACAAATAATTTTATTTTGTGTTTGAATTTTGTTTGTTATCTGATAGATTAAAAAGAATTTCAAATTCGATACATTAACCAGAAAAGTTGTTCATATTCGTAAAAGTTTATTACGGAAGTAACTGAATTTCAAAATTGCCATAGCAAATTAGATAAAATTAAAAAGTATCGTTAGTTAATTACTAAATTGTATAAATTGAAAGACAGATCAGTTAAGTAGACTCCTTTTACAAATCATAATTCGACAAAAGAACCAAGATGAACAAGGCAAATTTGTATAAACATTCAAATGGTTTGCAACGGCGTGATGCGAAGCAAACGATCGAGGAATTTTCGCATGTGCTTCAATGGCGATCGGATGGTCGTGATTCTCTGCTCGACATTGGCTGTGGCAGCGGTGATGTTACAATTGATTTTCTACTACCGATTCTACCGCCAAACTATCAACGTTTAGTTGGTGTGGATTTATCGCAAGAGATGGTCACGTTTGCCCGTCAACAGTACCCATATTCACGGATTTCATTTGACAAATTCGACCTTGGTCTTGACATCGAAAAGCAACAATTTCGCAGCGCAGAACCATTCGATCACATCACATCATTCTACTGTTTGCATTGGGTGCAGAATCAGGAGCGTGCTATTCAGAATATGTACAAACTATTGAAGCCGGACGGTGATATGTTGCTAGTATTTTTGGCACAGAATCCAATCTTCGAAATTTACAAGCAAATGTCACAGAGTAAAAAATGGGCCAAATACATGACTGACGTCGATCATTTCATTTCACCGTATCAATATTCCAAGAATCCAGCTGATCAGTTTGGTAAACTTCTGTATGCAAACGGTTTCACCGAGTACAGTGTTGAAATACGGGAAAAGTTCTTCGTGTTCGAAGGGATTGAACTGTTAAAAAGTAGGTGAACCAGTTTCAGTGCTGCAACGCTTCATTTCATTTTCGAAATTCCACTAAAATTACCTTTCATTTCAGAATCTGTGAAAGCGGTGAACCCGTTCATCGAACGAATTCCAACGCACGATCAAGATGCATTTTTCGACGACTATCTAAATCTTGTCATAAAAATGCACTTGGCTTTAGACGACATTCATACCAATAGCAACGCATGCCGCTTTTTAACACCATACAAACTGATGATCGCTTATGCTAGGAAGTAACAATTGATTTATTACAGTTTTACGTAGAATTAGTAAATATTTAAATTATTTATTCACAACTTATTCATATATACATATATAGTGTCACACATTTTCCTTGTGGTTAATAAAAAAAATTGTACTCTATTTCGAATTTAACATTTGATTTTTGTCTTTATTTTTGATGAGTCAGATAATTAGATGAAACGTCCCGTTAGAAACTCATAAGTCACCACATTTCTTTTCCAATAGCACAGGAAAAATATTTAGGTGAGTCGTCATGAGATTGGTGCAGTAGGGTGGTCTAAACTGATTTATCATGGTAAGGTATATGCTCCCAATAGCTTAAAATTAAATTGGGCTCAAAACTAGCTGATTCCCTTTTTCAGATAAAAAAAATGTTAGAATCTAGTGGTCGATGGAGCCATACTTGAAATGGCTGTTTTTGACCTATTTCTCAACATATATATTGATAGAAAACCCATAGGTTATTCAAATCGAATCTGGTGACATATCAAATTTAGGGTTTTTTGGGACGTTAAACACGAATCCGTTGTCAAAAATGAGCTAATGTTGCTTTTTAAAAAAGTTTTAGTACAAAAACATGATTTTTTTTTTTAAATTCAGCCATATAGCAAAAATACATGGTTCCAAGTGTATTTTTAACACCAAATTTGAACTCAGTGCCTCAAATTACCTTAAGATTGACTATGCTGATGACAAAAATCGAATAATCTCAAAACTAAAATTTTCTAGTAGTGTTCACGTATGGAAAAAATATCACATTTTTCCACGTATTTTTCCACCAAAAGTAAATGTTTGTTCAAAGCAGCCATTTTTATGGTTATTTAGGCCGCAGAATTTGAATCCACCCAAAAAGAAATAACAAAATTTTCAGTGGGAAAAATTGATATTTTTCTATACATTTATACGGATTTTTTTGCATTTTTCGGTTTTTCTCCCTAAACTCGTACCACATATGCCATGGAGCAAAACTTTGTTCAGCAAAGTTTTAGATCTCGCTGAAACCTACAATTTTGTCGCAGACAGTCATCACTTATCTCCTATCAGTAAGGAGATAATGGCCTTGATAGCTTTAATCAATTATCAGTGTTATCTCCTTACTGATAAGAGATAAGTGATGACTGTCTGCGGCAAAATTGTAGGTTTTAACAAGATCTAAAGCTTTGCCGAACAAAATTTTGCTTCATGGCATATGGGGTACGAGTTATGGGAGAAAAACTGAAAAATGCAAAAAAAAATTCCGTATAGAAAAATATCAATTTTTCTCACTGAAAATTTTGTTATTTCTTTTTGGGTGGATTCGAATTCTGCGGCCTAAATAACCATAAAAATGGCTGCTTTGAACAAAAATTTACTTTTGGTGGAAAAATACGTGGAAAAATGTGATTTTTTTCGATACGTGAACACTACTAGAAAATTTTAGTTTTGAGATTATTCGATTTTTGTCATCAGCATAGTCAATCTTAAGGTAATTTGAGGCACTGAGTTCAAATTTGGTGTTAAAAATACACTTGGAACCATGTATTTTTGCTATATGGCTGAATTTGTTAAAAAAAAACATGTTTTTGTACTAAAACTTTTTTAAAAAGCAACATTAGCTCATTTTTGACAACGGATTTGTGATCAGCGTCCCAAAAAACCCTAAATTTGATATGTCATCAGATTCGATTTGAATAACCTATGGGTTTTCTATCAATATATATGTTGAGAAATTGGTCAAAAACAGCCATTTTAAGTGCGGCTCTATCGACCACTAGATTCTAACATTTTTTTTATCTGAAAAAGGGAATCAGCTAGTTTTGAGCCCAATTTAATTTTAAGCTATTGGGAGCATATACCTTACCATGATAAATCAGTTTGGACCACCTCATTGGTGCAGCCTTTGAAATCATTTGGTTAAACGAAATTTTCAGTATTTCTTCATAAGGTGTTTTTGAAATATATGTTTTTTCGTTAATAATTTCAACACACAATTCACAGAAGCGCAAATTGATGAATGAGAAATAAAACTACTTTGAATGGTGAGTTCCGATGTTCAAGAATGTTTCTATTGATCTTACTAAGGCACTTGAAATTTGACAACCGACTTGCTTTTTCAAACGTATAACTTTTTCTTTCAATATTAACACAAACAAAGATGTGTCAGATGTAATCAACAAAACAGAACAACCAACATTTCTATGAGTTTCACTGTTCTGAGAAGTCGTTTCTTTGTTATATTATCATATCAATTGTTAGCAATAAAAAATTAGATTGATAACTATTTACTCTGTACTATCACTATCCACCGATAGCAAGTTTCCCGAAATATATTCTTTCAAATCAAAACAAAACATTTAATCAGCCACCACTTTCTTCTCTACGCTACAGCTGAGGCTGATTGTGTGACGCGAATTGCGTCATATTTCCAAATGGAAACGAGTAATAATTGAAACGCGTGATAGTGTCGTGTTATTGTTAACTTTCAATCAAATCTACAATTTTGTGACATTTTCTGGCTCGCCATCAGTACTTAAGCGTTTGCGTTGAGAAAATGGTTCAGACAGAAGTAATCGCTGTAGAAATGTGCTTATTTCAATCGCTAATTTTGACAGTTTCACTGTTCAGTTGTTCAAACGCCAATATATTTACATGTCCGAAGAGATCAGACGATGTGTTTAAAGTGTTGAATTCAAGTGAAAGTGAATTGATATTCGCGCACGTTGTAAGTGTCAATGTTCTTCTTCTGTAGTTGAAAATGTTCCGTTTCAATTCTAATATTGTGTAATAATTATTTTTATCAGATTTATCGACATGGAGATAGAACCATCGGACACTTATACCCAAATGATCCATGGAGGGAAGAAATTCATTGGCCCGAAGGCTATGGAGCGCTGACTAATGTGAGTTTGATCATATTTTAAAATTGAACTATAACTTAGTTTGAATATCTCATTAAGAAAAGAATTTGTTTGTGAAAAAAAAACTGTGTCAACAGGAAGGAAAGCGACGACATTATAAGCTGGGTAAATTCTTCATGAGACGATATGGCGAAATTCTTGGACACAAATACTCACCGAATAAAGTGTATGTGCGATCATCTGATTATGATCGAACCATAATGAGTGCTCAAGCAAACCTAGCAGGTATATCAATTTGGGGGATTGTTGGGCTGAGACCGATGGACAGAGTTCAATCGGTCCGGTAATAATAGTCAGGAGGTTGGCTTTATGTTTTGTTTATTGAATGAATGTAAGACTTAGAATGATTGATACGATGAGTGTCCGATCGCTTACAAGTATGTGCGATCGGTCACTCGATGATTTGCTTATGTACCGTAATGGTACTACTAATTATTACATTAGCTACATGTATATTCTCTATCATACCACACACCACACAGGCATGTTTAGGCCAACCGACGATGAAATTTGGAATGAGGATATTGGCAGAGTTTGGCAGCCAATTCCCATTCATGTTGTTCCATTAAAATCTGAATATCTTATTGCTAACGAAAGGAAGTGTCCAAAATTTGAGGCGATGTTTGCAAAGCATGAAAAAGAATCACCGGAAATACAACGCATTTATTCTCAATACGCAGATCAGTTTTTGCATTGGACACAAGAGAGCGGAGCAAATATCACAACATTTCGTGAAGTGAAAGAATTGTATAAAACACTTCTTATGGAAAGGGCGCGTTACAAAACGTGAGTTGAGAAAATCCTGCAATTTTAATAAGAGTTACTATTTGGAATGACAATTCTGTTTTGTAGATTACCAGCTTGGGCTGAAAAAGCAATTGAACGAAACGGAGTAATGGGATATATTTCCAAGTATCATTTCAAAATGAGAACCGACACACCGCAATTGGCTCGTTTGAGTACGGGATTTTTAATAAAGGAAATCTTCGAACGATTTTCAAAAAAGATCAACAAAACATTGCAGCCCGATCGTTCTGTATGGGTTTACTCGGCACATGACGACACAGTTGCAAACCTACTGAATAGCTTTGGTCTCTTTGAGGTAGCTTCGAATATTTGCAGTTGAAAACAGTTTGTAAAGTAATATTTTTGTATGATGTTCCAGATACACATTCCGCCCTATGCGTCGAGCATTCTTTTGGAACTCTATAAAAATGATGAAAATGAGCATTACATCCAGATGTTCTATCGAAAATCAGATGTGGAAAAGCCCTCGCCGTTGAATATACCGAATTGTGGGGAAAAGTGTACTTTGGATCGACTGTATGAGTTATACAGTGAACTCATCCCCGGCGATTTTGAAACCGAATGCAGGTGGCCTTGATCAAAGCCTCTATACAACTTATTTGAAAAGGGAACAAAAACCAAGAAAATCTGAATTATAATAATATCGAAATAAGAATGCGTTATAAGTAACAATAGCAGTTTACTTATTGTACTTTTTAGTACTTCCGCTTGGTAACAAATGTAGTGTAAGTGGTTTGGTTCATTAAAAAAAATTCTCAGAATTGAATTCGCAGCCGTGTTGAAATTGAATAGCTAGCAGTCACTCAGTTGTATGTAGCTAGCTGTATGTGGTGGTACACAACTGAAACTGGCACTGAAGAATGACACCACGAAGCTTATTTAATATGCAGGCACATAGGAAGCGGAGCATGCTAGCTAAACTATTACTTACATTACAAAAAGGATAACGGCTCTACATTTCATGTAAAGCCTTTCCTTAATAGTTTGTTGTGCATACAAAACTTTTGGCATTTCCAGATTTTGATTATCGCAATTATTTTTGAGTTATCGTGTTAACAAACAGCTACGACGACGACAACGGCACAGAACGGAAAAGTGGTTCGGATGCCCGTTGTAAGTGGTTCGGATTTAATTAAATCCAAAAATTTAATTTTCAACTTTGTGAAAACGGCCAAAAAAAGCTAATAAGTCAAAGCATAAAATTTGGTCGAAAACAAGAAAAATTGATCTTATGAGTACACTTGATATGCGTTATGGGGCTTTGAAATCGTGATTTTCCCGAATTTTGTTAAATCCCAAAGATTTAACTTTCAAATGCGGCAAATAAGTCAAAAATTGTTGGAAATGACCAAAAAATTCTAAATCAGCAAAAAACCCAACCACTTTGTACGTTTTTTGAGTCCAAATATGCAAAAATATCATTTTTCGTATATTCTCAACATTTAATTTTCAAATGCGTGATTTAAGAATTTTTCACGTTAAACAGTGGGTCAAATAAGGCAAAAGTTGTGAGAAATGGTCCGAAAAATCTAAATCAGTAATAAAAAGCAAGCACTTTTGACCATTTTTGGGTTCAAATAGGCAAGAATATCAGTTTACGGAAACCCTCAGTATTTCACTTTCACATTATGGTGAATTGTTTTGGGAAATCTCGTTTTTCGATAGTCCGCCCATCCAAAACATCTAGCCAGCTTCAAATAAAGCACGAAAGCCATATCTGTGCCTTGTATATGGGGATTTCAGGTCAGCACAAGATTTAGATAGGTAAATGAGTTTTTTATGAAACCATGAAAGTAAAATCCCAATAGAAATCTCATTTGTGATATTCCAAACGTCATGAAACTTTCTGGATCTTATTTTTTTACCAAAAAACTCAATCCCTGACATTTTGAAGCCAATCGAAAGCGATTTACGGGTACCTTCCATACAAATTTGGCCTGTTTTGCCAATTTTATGAAGAAAATAAGAAAACTGGTACATAAATGATGCGGTTGAAATAAACATGAGACTTTCGTCGCTCAATACACAGATACGAAACAAAAATAAAGCAATCCATTAAAACGGAACATGGAAAAGAAATCCGTGAAAATGGAACATAGCATGTGCCGTTTTAAGTATTTCGCTTTGCGGTGTTCCGTTTTGATAGATTTTTTGTCTGCAGTATCGTTATGAACGAATCCCCTCGCACGTCGTTTCGTTACTCGAATATTTTTTCGTGTGTTTCATTTCAATTGATTCCCGAGCTATTGATGACGTCACTCGCATTCATCACATGATGCAAATTAAGTGATAAGGAGCGCGAATTTCGATATGGCGATAACAACAATGGATTGGGCACAAAAAATACTGTATGAGAATCGAAAAAAAAAGTTTAACTTTTTTTTCGATTTTTGCCTGTTTCGGATCGTCTACATGGGAAGTTTGTATGAAAACCTCGGAGCGCCGATGTTTTACCCGTATTTACACATCAACAAAGCAGTCTGCTTCACCGTAGAAAAGTAGTGCGCATTAAGAAAACAAGAACGTACAGGTTTTGGCAACGTGGCTTCACTAGTGATTATGAATGAACGTAATTTCTCCCTACATTTCTCATTTCGTTCATTCATATTCGCTTTAATGCAACGTTGCCGAAACCTGTACGTTCTTGTTTCCTTACTGTGCACTACTTTTCTACGGTGAAGCAGACTGCTTTGTTGATGTGTAAATACGGATAAAACACCGGCGCTCCGAGGTTTCCGTACAAAGTTCCCATGTCGTCATCCGAAACAGGCAAAAATCGAAAAAAAAGTTTAAATTTTTTTTTTCGGTTCTCATACAGTATTTTTTTGCCCAATCCGTTGGTGTTATCGCCACATCGAAATTCGCGCTCTTTATCACTTAATTTGCATCATGTGATAAATGCGAGTGACGTCATCAATAGCTCGGGAATCAATTGAAATGAAACACACGAAAAAATATTCGAGTAACGAAACGACGTGATACAGATCCATTCATATGAAACAATGCGAGGGGATTCGTTCATAACGATACTGCAGACAAAAAATCTATCAAATCGGAACACCGCAAAGCGAAATACTTAAAACGGCACATGCTATGTTTCATTTTCACGGATTTCTTTTCCATGTTCCATTTTAATGGATTGCTTTATTTTTGTTTCGTATCTGTGTATTGAGTGACGAAAGTCTCATGTTCATTCCAACCGCATCAAATATACTGTCAACAGTCAATGACAGCTAATTGAACGTAATTTGTGTTGCAAGATACTTCCTATTGCAAGATGGCACTAAACCAAACGTCATTCTAGTCATTCCTCTTATTGTGTATCCATGTCAAAAAACTATTTCGGTTAACCATCAATTCATAGACTCTCTGAACTAATAATTATTCCTTATAGCCGTTTGCTCAGTCCTCGAGTTGACCAAATTTTGTTGTACAGTGTAATTGAATAATAATTGTCCAAGGTTACGGTGCAAGGTTATGTTTTATTCTTATGCAAACTACATTGAACATCAAACATTGATTATTTCCTAATTAATAGAATATTTTATGACACCATGAAGCAGAACCAACAACAAATAACAGAGCTTAGTGCAAATATTGAATTACCCAATAAAATAGAATTCTTGATAAAAAAAAATATTCAAGGCACTTTTTCCAAGGCTCATGATTACGTTCATGTATGATCTTTTGCATATGTGAACTTTGTAGGGAAGATCGTACAAAATCGCAATCATACACGTTGAAAATAATTCCTTCAATATGAATGTTACTAAGCGGTTGCGTATGAGCCATTATCAATGGTTCCTTTATTCTGGATGATTTCACTCAGCAGAAGATAAGGTCTTCAACATCATATAGTAGGTATAAACGGTCCTGAGTAGCTAAACATTTAAAAATTGTAATGAGTCGGTCATTCAAAAAAGAAAAATGCAATTTTGTTTTATTCAAGCCTACCTGGCAAAAAGTTTCCAGGTTCAATGTGATAATTCCGTATCCATGATAACTTAGTGGTATCTGTGCGTTGGCGATAATTATGATGAAATACTTTTGCAAGTTCATCGGGAGCTCCTGCCAGTTGTAATCATACAGGCAGTCAGCCATTTGCTCGTAGCTCTCAGATGCGATTTTTCCGAGGTAACAGCACACAAATAAGTTGGTTAGAACAGTCAATGCAGCCTTTTCCAAAAAGACAAAAAACCTAATGTCGAAGTCTGTTGAAAATTGCTAAGAATTCACCAAACAAAACCTAATCATTAGCTTTTGGAAAAATGATGAAATCGTCTTAACCCTCTGATCGTTTGTCGGGCGTACAATGCCCGAGACGACTTTGAACTTCGAAAAAAAGTACTAAAAACCAAAACAAATCACATTGAAATTGGTACCATTCGATAGCTTGAACCTTTAGCTAAACACCAGTAAAATTCATGTGTATATGTTTAAGCATGTGTGAGATATTGCCTCCCACAGCACATGTGCGCCGTACGTTTCTTGTATCAAGTGTATTTTTTCATGAAAACTGGACTGTGATAAGAGATAACGACTTGATGTCTTCAGCAAAGTTGTAGTACTCGTGGTTTTCTACAACTTTACTGAAGACAGATATCGCTTAACTCTTATCATTCCCGCGAAAAACTGCAAAATCATGAATGTTCGGTTTCCCATTTTTTACGGAACTGATAAGAGATAAGCAATATGTGTCTTTAGCAAAGTTGTAGAGCGGATCAAGTCAAACAACTTTGCCGAAGACACTAAGTCGCTATCTCATATTACAATCAAGTTTTCATGAAAAAATACACTTGAGGCGCTGTACGCCCCATGAAACGAAGTTAAGGTGTAAACGCAACAAACGACCAGCGGGTTAATGACGACAAAACCTTAATTAAACCGTCTAAATGAGTAACAAAATTGTAATTAAAATCCAGAAGAGACAACGTCATCGAAATGTAAATTTGGTTGAAATGAAGAAAAAAAATCCTGGGGATTTGGTGGAATTCAGTTAGCGCATTCAAATGTTTGTTTTGGAAAAATGATATGTGCAATAGGGTGCATCGAATTCTAAATATCAAACGTTTTCAAAGTCCTTAGTGCGGCTTTGGTAGAGCTCATCGAGACGAACAACTTTTGCTCTGGCACTTTGGTCGTACCTCCACATCCCTTAACCCTCACTTTTTTTCATTATTGAGTGACTAGAAAAATGATCGAAATTGGCCTCTCTCTGGGTAAAATACTATTTTTTTGTCGAATGCTGGAACACTTGAATGCTGGTTTCGACATAAATTTGGCCGCAAATCGACATTTCTTCAATAAGAAGAGCAAAAAATTGAAAAATTCATGTTCAAAATTGCAAAGTGTGTTATGAGCTGATGTCAGCAGCCCTAACTAACGTCAGCGTTAAAAAAACGCAACACATACTCATCAGCAGTTCATATCAGCAGCTGATGTTAGTTAGCGATCATTTTTCTAGTCACTCAATAATGAAAAATGTCTTTTGAGTGGGGTATAAGGGATGCGTAGCTATGAGCAAAGTGCCAGAGCAAAAGATGTTCGTCTCGATGATCTCTGCCAAAGCCGCACTAGGGTCTTTGAAAACGTTTGATATTTAGAATTCGATGCACCCCAAGTACAATAATCTATGTTTCCAATCATTTCTTAACAATATCATTGCGGCAAAATCACAAAATTACAATTTGTTAACGATGTTGTCAATTTTTTGGATTCTTCAAAAGATTTAATTCAATTTGATTATCACCTGATCCAAATGGAATACGAATGCAGACAACAACAGCATGTTGCCAATAAGTTCAACCACGAAATGTGGACTGTAAATATCTGCCGTTTCCAAAAACCAGCTGGAATATCGTAAACAAAATCGATTATCAGAAAAATAGTCTTGCTACCCCCAAGCGCAATAGTAGATCGAAAATTTCAATGTCACTTCCAGTTGGAGCGATGTGAGCAGTGATATTTTATTTTTTTAATTTTTATTTGGGAAAACTACCATAATAACATTCACTTTCGAAATCATACCATTTGAAAATGGTCGTGCCGAAACGATACAACCGAATTGTATAGCCTCGACAACACCTCGGCACGACAATTTTCAAATGGTATGATTTCGAAAGTGAATGTTATGTTAGTTTTCCCAAATAAAAATTAAAAAAAAATTAAATATTGACTGTTTTTAAATGTGTGCTATGGATGTCATTTTCAGAGCGTAAAGTTTGACAGATACCATTGCTGACGTTAGGGTGTGTTCAAAGTCGGTATTGAACAATGAAATGTACTAAAAACGTGATTGTGAAATTATGAGTTGTGTGAAAAAATTCACTTTCTATCGAAAATGTGAGAATTAATGTCCACAAATAGACAAAAGTATGATTTGCCATTTATTATTTTGTACTAGTGTTTTTTTTTCTTCAGATAATGCTCGGCTTCTTTCAAAACAAAGTTGCAACACTTGAAATTGATCGTGCCATGTAAACTTGATGATGACAATTTTTTCACTCTTATGTTTTAGGCATTTTGCATGCAAAATAACTGACTGTCGAAATAACTGTGGTTTTCTTTTCTAAATTGAGTTTATGAATGAAAAAGTGATTTTGTATAAAATTGTATGAACAATAAATAAAATCTTCATCAGAACCGTGCGAGAAGATATTAGTATCACCAACCAGATGGCGACACAGAAAACATTCAATTTGATACATCTGTCAAAAAGCACGAAAATGCTTAAGGTTCTTTTCTTCCATTTGGATGTGACATCGAAATATTCGACATTTACCGTCACGTTTGGGACGTTTATATCGTCCGGTGATTGTGCTATTTAGGAACCTGTGTAGTGTCCCGTGTGAAAAAATTGTGACTGACTAGCCAGCCGCCTAATTTCGGACTTTTTGGCCGACTATCACCGACTAAAAGTGATTATTTCGAACAAAATATTCGGCTGTAGTCAACTTCAGTTATAGTCATATAGTAGCCAAAAAGTCCGAAATTAGACGACTGGCTGAAAGAATAACTAAACGTGGATACAGGAATGCTGTTGCATGGCAGCGCCGTACGTTGTTTGCTGTGTTCTGCTTTACTATGCTTCAGATGACACAATACAATCATACAGTGTACACGTACACAATAGTTCCGACACTTTGCCGTCGTTTGAAGCTATGGCGCTAGTTATGCAACATCATTCGCACAAGGACTGGAAGGTTTATATCGAATCGAACCCGTGTGCAAATAAAATGACTAACTCAGTTGTATGTAACTGTATGTAGTGATACACAACTAAAACTGGCTAAGTTGATTGAAATCATGCGTTTTGTATGGAGACAATCACGTTTAGTTATTCTTTCAGTCAGTCGACTAATTTGGGACATTTTAAGTAAGAGTGATTTGTGATTAAAGTTAACTGCAGTTGCTTATTTTGTTCGAGACAATCACTTTTAGTCAGTCAAAATGTCCTAAATTAATCGACTGATTTGCGGCCAAAAATTTTCCACACGGGAATGCATTCGAATAGATTAAAAATTACTATGTGTGAATTAAAAATTAAACACTTTTAATCAGAGCGTGCTATGAGCTGATGTCAGCAGCACTAACTAGTGTTAGTTACTGATATCAGCTGCTGACGAGTATGCGTTGCGTTTTTTTAACGCATCTGAAATATAAAATTCATATTCCTCTCTGCATAACAAGTCAAAATTCATATTCTCTTCATTGAAATTTGACTTGTTATCGAGAGTTTTGTACTGCAGATGCGTAAAAAAACGCAACGCATACTCGTCAGAAGCTGATATCAGCAACTGACGTCAGTTAGTGCTGCTGACATCAGCTCATAACACGCTCTGATTTTAATTTCACTAATGTATGAGACAGTTTTACTAATTAAATTTTGTAATATTGTCATACGTTCAATTATGAAACAAAGCTAAAATATCCACCTACCTTTTGATCGAATTGTGAAAATCAATTAATTTGCAAAGGAATTCTCTATCATTTCGGTTCTCGGCCGGGCGTTCCAATTTGCGAAGCGAATGCCGTAACATTTTATTGAACGCTTGATGATGCAAGCATATGGAAACGAATGATAGAAGAATCACACCATTGTACACAAGATAAAATTCGAGTGATATAATGATGAAGATGATCTCCCCGAAATAACCGAGCAACGTTGATTGATCCCAAGGCAAGCTTAAATTACAGAAATGGAAATAGCTGTAGTTTTAATTCTTTGTTCATACTAAAAAAAACCAATAGATTCTTCACTAACATGAATCTAAAAGGGCGAAATAGTTGCGTCACATCAAGGTGTCCATTCAACAGAAAACATACTAGAACAGATCCAATCGATGATACGGCAATGATGACGGGGAAACCGCCCAAGACAAATTTAATATACATTTTCCAAAACCATTCGGATTTGTTATTTGCTTGCGCCAAATACCGGAATGAGTCTTCATCCTTAACTAAATTCAGAAGCATTTGCATATTATTATTTCGTTGAATTGGTTTACTGAATTATCGTTGAAATGATATAAATAATGGTTCATACACTTTTCGTAGATTGCTGATAAATTTTCATAAACTGGTGGTATCTTATGACGGAGAAGAAATGCCACAACCATCGAATTGGCCATTATAAGACAGCCAATCATTGCATATATTGCTATCGAAGCGCCTTTAAAATCGATCGAAATAAATTTCACTACGAACATTAAACCCGATAAAATATCGATCAACAAAATAACGATCCATGCCATAACGAACGCAATGCAAGCCCATTTTTCCCATTTGCTGGTGTTTTCTTTCGCAGGTAATACACAAAGCCACGTCAATATTTGTTGATCGGTGGCTAAAGGCTTCATGTTGCTATTATTATAAGATTGCTTATTAGCGTGGTCCAAAAAAAAATTATGTCAATTTTCTTGCGATTCTCGGGCTGAATTCGTTAGTTCACCTCAAGGAAAAAAAATAAGAATGTGCTTGTCAAATACCTACCAACCCGAACAAAAACCCACAGCAAATGGAATACACAAAAAATCTGTCGAGTGGTTTCGAAGGCGATTTTATATTGTAACATTTTAATCAATTTCGCTATTCCAGCCACATTTTTGCCACAAACTGCTACTAGGATTTTATTCAGGGCACTAAAATCTACAACTTTTACCAAGACATCAGCCATTGGAAAGGCATTCTGGACCAGTTAGAGTATAAAATGACCGAAAAAATGGCAATTTTTTTGGCATTTTCGACATTTGACCCCATACTAGTCACCCAGGCGATGGACTTTTGTCCAGTTTTTGACTTGTGTCGTGTAGCCAGAAACTGTACAAAAATTTTGGTACTTGTCAGTTTGCAATTTGGATGAAATTTGGTGTCAATTGATTAACACATAAAAGACAAATTTCAGGCCAAAATGAGCAAATCACAAACATGAGCTTCGGTTTGACAGATAAAAGCAAACGATTTCTATCTTTTCTGCCTTTGAACATCTAGTGTAATCCCTTACGAACATTTTAGGTACCAAACCGACCAACTCGAGTGATGTTTTCACATATTTCTAGCCTCATATTCGATTTCAACTCCCAAAAAATCGACTTTTGGCCCAAAAAAATCCTTAAGTATAGGCTTTTTCCACACGACCATGTCGTGTAAGAAAAGTATTGGGATTGCCTCGATTTTTTGACCCCCTTAAAATCAGTTATTTTTCGATTTTCGAGCTCTGAAAATCGCGAAATCTAGCATAATTTTAGGGTCGTACGCAAAAAATGGGAATTGCTATTATATCGCTTTAAATTTCTTGACCTATTCACAATCAGTTCTTTTTCGATTTTTGAACGCCGTAAATCGCAAAATCAAGCATTATTTATGGGTAATGTGACCAGATCTCCTATAGGTTAAATACAAAAACGTCTAAAAATAAAACAAAATCGTCTAAAAAAATGACAATTTCGTCTAAAGAAAATGGTCCCTTTTTTTTTAACAAATTCGTCTAAAATATTTTTTTTTAAATGACAAAATCATCTAAGAATGTGACAATTTTTTTCTTAACAAAATCGGGTTTTAAAATAACAAAATCGCCTAAATACACATTTTCTAGAAAAAATGACAAAATCATCTAAAAGACTCCAAAAACATCTATGGACAATTTAAATAAAAAATAAATACTAAAGAACTAAACAAAAATATAAATCTGAAACTATCCTTAAAAATAAAATACTCAAGTAACCACGAAAAAAATTACAGTTTATGCACGTCAATCTGAAATTTCTATATATATTTAGTAATATTCATTTGCTGTTTACGATGTATATTTTTGAATATACACAGATATTCCAGTTTGACGTTCTTACCAGTGAATACCATAGTTAACATTCGATGCGTATGGGCATGAAAGATGAAAAAATTATTTTTCCCTAGCAAATTAAAACTAATCATATTTTATTATATCATTTCTGATATATACAAAAACAACAGCATACATTATGTGTTATTAGCACACAATAAGTTTCTGTTTTATTCTGCTTTGTCGGCTTTTTTTCATCCTCCTATATTCTCCTATATTTTTGATCATAAAATCCTATATAATCAGAAAAAAAATCTTGTCACATTATTTATAGGTCGTAGGGTAGGTGTGTGGTACACTGTACGCTGTACGCAAAAAACACGGTAAAATTTTTGCTATGTTAAAATGTATAGAAAATGGAATATTGAAATTACCCTGTCATTAAGGTCTGATTGAAATACGAATCTAATTTAAATTTAGAATTATATGTGTAGGAGTGTAGGAAAGTTAACCTTACGCTTGTTTTGGATTGTATTCTTGAAATAATGATTAGAGTTATCTTTAGATCGATTAAAAATGACATAAATTCACAGATAAAATACAATACAATTGTTTTTAGGTTTAGAATCACCCATATTTTCTTAGTTGTACATGTCAAAATGGCATTTGAAATTGAACAGTGCTAAAATGTATCCGAATGGTCGAATCGTGTGTACAAAGTCGCTTATATGACACACTAAACTTATTCACAATGACATATGGCAGGCTCATATTCACATAATTTTCGACGAGCAATCGATTTAGACTATCACGGATGGAATCTGATCAGCCTAGGGTACCAAAAAGTGCCCATGTTTTGACCAATGTTTTCAACCCACAATATTTTATAGGGGGAATTTCATTTTTGACTCAAATTATACATTTTTTATATTTAATACTTATAATAATAATCATATTTTTTCGTGAAAATAATTAGATTTGTGAACAATTGAACATTGATTTGCCTATAGTTTTGGTGTCGAATGGAACATTTAAATCTGGGTTCAGACACCAGATCATGCCTATACCCCAATTTTTGAATGCAGTTTTTCTTATTTTTTTCTAAAGTTTCTTGCTCAGCTAGCAGTTTTTTTTCAAAGCCCAGTTTCAAAAATCAAAGCCGGATTTAAAATTAAATCCGAAGCACTTGGAACGGACATAAAATTTTACAATATAAAATCGCCTTCGAAACCACTCGACAGATTTTTTGTGTATTTCATTTGCTGTGGATTTTTGTTCGGGTTGGTAGGTATTTGACAAGCACATTCTTATTTTTTGAGGTGAACTAACGAATTCAACCAAAAAAATAGGGGAAAGACTAACAACTAACAACTTTTTTGTATATATCAGAAATGATATAATAAAATATATTTATTTTTTTTCAACTAACTATCCCTTTGGAACCGATATTCAGTTTAAAGTTTGAATGTCTGATTTTTTTCCACAATGATTTAATGATCGAAAGGGTTTTTGAAGAAATTTTTGTTTAGATTTTTAGACAACTGTTTGATGATGAAAAATAAACAAAAAAAAGATTCATATAATTTTCGATCCGGCTATTTCGATCAGTTGTTTAGTTTTATCTATTTACTTATGTTTAAAAAAAATCTAGAATGCAAATGCTGATCGTAGAGCTTCTGTAGAAACAATTATTTCGAAGAGATTTTTCAATAATTTTCTAGGTTCACGAATTTGTTCCTTTGATATGTTGACACAAGTCGATTTGAAATAATACTGACAATGGTGTACACTGTACAAGTACATTTATATCGTCAGTACGAAGGCAGCTCTATGCATTATTATGCGCTTGATAACTTCGTAGGATCCACTGTAAATTCAGTGTATGGGTATCTACTATTTGAGTGATTCAGTATGCATTGTATGGGTTGCTACAAATACTATAATAGTGTTTACTTCGAAAGTTTGAAGTGAACAAGCATAGAGCCATATACTCACACATTTTCAAGATTTAAATATGTTTTCCTCCGATCGAAGTTCTAATTGATGGTCATGTTAGTGATATCAGGGATTTTTCCAATATTGTTCTCCCCCCCGAAACACGCGCCGAACATTTTTGCTGTAAATATCAATTCATTATTCAAAAGATGTGACATGGGCTAAAAACTGGGTCGAAGTACGTGTACCAGCTCATCCTAACTGCATGTGTTTTGGTTCACAATAATTAAATATTAAGTATTTATGGCATTGGTTTTGGAGCTTTTGCGCTGCTTTCAATCGATCGACACCTATTGTTGATACCAGTAAAAATGACTCATCAGATACTCGGTCCACGTAGATAATCTATGAGTCATAGACTACGACATGCCTGAAAGAATGTGGTTATTTCAATATAAATCAATATCCACGTTGACCTTGTGTGAATATCACATCGAATTTATCACGTTACTATAAGTGAGAAATCGGGAAGCTGAACTCAAATTCGAAAGGCATTAAAGATTTCATGCAAAACCAATTGAGCCAGAGAACAAATTATTACAGAATAACTATTTTATATTTTTAGTGGATAAAATTCACATTTTCCAATATAGTTGAGTACTATCTTTTGAATTTAGGATTGGAATTTTCAAAATTCAAACCATAAATTAAGTGAACCTATCATATTTGAGCAAGCTGTTTATCTTGAACTTGAAATGCAAGCACTGAAAGCACGTCCACCGTCTATGCATTATTCTTATATTGGTTATCCACACTTTGTGGCTATGTTGTAAATAAACACTGATTAAAAATCGCTTTCTCGCTCAGACTGGCTTTTGACGGTGTATTTTCGAATTGAAAATTTGTTTCGAAGAAAAATGTGTCTCTTTCAGAAACTTCGACTGATGACGAAGACTATTACGAGGGGATGAAAGCGGTTTCCAAGACAGCGTTGAAGGAAAATATTGACGGACTTTTGGAAACTGGAAATGTTCAAGAATCTAAAGTCGCAAACTTGGAAACAAGAATGAGATCAATTTCAATCCTTATCTTTATATTCATGATTATATACTTTTGAGATAAAAAAAATTCAACAGTGCGTGGACGTATTTTTATTACCAATTGTGCTCATGAATAATGCGCAATTGATAAAAAGAGACTTATTAAGCACAGATATACGTTCAGTTATGCATTTGCTCAAATAATTTCTAAGCAATATTGAAGTTTGAAGGGTATTACTGAAAAGTTGGTTTCATTTCAACGAGTCAACTGTTGGTAAACAAAATAGAAGAATCAAAAAACGCATTACTTCTCAACATACATCCATTGCTTTGCTGAATTATTAGTTATTTTAACATGAATAAAGCAGTTTTATACCAAAATTCGAACGGCGTGCAACGAAATGATGCGGAGCAAGTGTTTAATGAATTTTCGAGCGTGTGGAAGTGGCGATCAAATGGACGTGATACGTTGCTCGATGTCGGCTGTGGTAGTGGTGATGTTACGATCGATTTAATTTTACCATTTCTGCCAGACAACTTCGAACGTTTAGTTGAGTGTGATATTTCGGATGAGATGGTGAATCACGCACGACACAAGGTATCTTTCGAACGATTTGATTTGAGTATAGACATAGAAATGCAGTCAATATTAAAATTGGAGAGTTTTGATCACATCACTTCATTCTATTGCCTGATGTGGGTTCACAATCAAAGAATGGCCGTGCAAAATTTATATAAAGCTACTGAAGCCGGGTGGGGATTTATTGGTAGTGTTATTGGTGCTCAATGTCCAGTGTATGATTTTTACAAGGAACAATCGCAAGACGACAGATGGGCAAAGTATATGACCGATTTCCGTAAACATTTAATTGATTGTAGATTCACAGAGTGCAAAGTGGATGCTCGGGAAAAACACTACATCTGCAATGGCATTGACAATCGAAGTGTGCGATAATATTATTTTTTTAAAGAATATTATTATATTATTGATGATTTTTCTTTCATTTTTTTTAAGATGTTCTGAAATCAATTAACCCATTTATTGATCGCTTCCTGATTCCCAAACAATCGAAATTTCTTGAAGACTCCGTGCAAAAATTCGGTCAAAATAAGTTAGCACTGGATGATTTCCATGCGAACAGTGATAAATGTCGCTATGCTACACCTTACAAGCAGGTGGTTGTATATGCCAGGAAGTGAATTTTAAATGTAAAAATTTACTCAAATGAATGATATCGAATGATATTTCTTGTGATTCTAATGATGCTTTTCATGTAGTGCGAATAGCATTGTTGTAGACCAACAATTCAAGAATCGTTGTTTGTTCATGGCTTACATTTACGGTTCAGTCGGGGTATCATACAAAAAGTCATCAAAAATGCCATTTATTCTTGCATAATGAATCATAAAAGACTTTACTTACTGGTAATAAATAAGTAAAATGGCATAATCTTCGGATTTGTTTTGTGAAGGTATACTCTTCATCAAATAAAAATATCGACAACTCTTTCTTTTTCAAAGTTATCTACAGTTCAGGCAGTTATCTACAAATTTTTGAATATTTGATCTATATTTTATCGTAATAGTTGAATCTAAATTGATGTTGAAATTTCATGTGTTCATTGAATCACATGCGTATTACGATACATACTCTAATCAATTGTCTGGGTATATTGAAAAAATAAAACCAATTGTTGATAGCTTCAGTATGGAGAGGAACATCACTGGTCTGTAAAATAAAGCCGAAACTTACTTAAAATCGAAGGGTTGTAACAGTGATATGATCGGCACATGAGCACCATCTCTACTGATTGTCATTATTGCCATGTAAATGAATAGAATGTCTACTTCTTCTTCTTCTTTTTCTCAACATCAATTGCATATGACTTATGGTAACTCTCCGTAATCATTAAAGGTGGCGCTACTTATGCGCATCAATTGACTTTTGCATTGGCTCTTATGTACTGTGCGTGCCTTTTGCTTAAAATAGTTTTTTTTAAACTATGCAATTACCAAACTATGCATCCAGTTTACGTTTTGAGCTGTATAGAGAAAAATGACAGCTACTTTCTACAGAAAGGCCAAAGAGGAATATCTTTCACCAATGAATAATCCAAATTGCAGGTAAACGTGTTTCTTAGATTGATTTAATAGTGCGCATCGTGATATCATCCCTGGTGATTGCAACATACAATGTGACATATATGACATATCCGCGAGAGTCTCTAGAATTGCTTCGTTCAATCAATTGTTTCCAAGCACATGGTTAAACGCTTCACACTTTTTATGATATGCTTCGCTTGTATATGCAGGCTTGCCACACAAATTACGGGAAAAAGTAGCGAAAATAGCTGAAAGTTGTTATAGCTGAAATAGCTGAAATTTGTTTCGGTTTTTATAGCTAAAATAGCATGTACAAAAAAAGCAAAAATAGTGTAATTTTCTGGTTTTATTCATAAATAATACCGTTATGATTCTATCAATATTAATGTAATGTTTAGAAACATTAACGATGTTCGAATAAGCAAGAAAACATTTTATTTATTATTTATAGCTTGTATGAGCTTTGTGACAATAATGTTGGCTGTTGCAGTACCCAAATAAAACGTTTGTAGATGACGCGTTACTGCTTGCTGTAAACTATTAGAAAAAAACGAATGCGGATTTGTAGTTCTTTTTGGTTTGCACTGTTTACAGTTTCATCAAACAACAGTGTGAAGTACAACTGCCTGTTAATGTCTTCGATCACTTTCTTGTAGAAATACGGCCCGAGTGCGAAATTCAAAACATAAGTTGCCTTTGTTCGATTCAACGTGAACGATTGAAGTATTTGTAAATCACTTATTGCAGATTTCAATACATTTCCCAAATCATCAAACGAATTTAACGAACAGCTGTTTGACAATCCGTTGAGAAGAACCAACAATTCCGCTTTAGTTGTCTCCAGCGTTTGGTTAAGATATCTATCTTAGATAAGATATTAAGATAAGATAAGATAGATAGTATCTATTATCTTATCTAGATAATTTTTCAAAAATGTCGAAAATCTTATCTATTATCTTTTCTGTTTTTTTTTCGACTATCTATCTGTCGTTTTTTAGATAAAAATTAAGATATTCATCAAGTAATTGTATCAGAGATTCGATCGATACCAAATGATGATTCACACTACAGATTTGTCCTACTTGTTAAAAAAATATACACATCCCATTTATAGAAAAAAAATACACTTCAAAATCAGGGTAAATCACGTAAATCTTCCAACTGAAATGTTTTGTTGATTGGGATATTTTTCAAAAATTAAAGTTTTTTGGCCAATTTTCGTGCATTTTTCACAGAACAAAAAAAAAATTGAAGAAAATTCATCAAATTGCCATATGAATAAAGAATGATATATTTCTAAAAAGATTATCTTAAGATAGCTCAAAGATATCTATCTTTTTCGGAAAAAAGATTTAAAAAAAGATAAATTTAAAAAAGATATCTAGATAGATTTGGACATTTTTGAGATTATCTCGTTTTTATCTAGATATTTTTTCTGGGACAGAACCAAACGCTGGTTGTCTCGTCCTTTGGTGCAAGAAGTTGCCATTTTGTCACTGTTTCCGAACTGCTACCTGACGCGATATCCAAACTTAACTTTTGTTGGGAATCATCCAATTTTGTTTTTAGGTTTTTTTTGTGTTTATCCGTATCCATATGCTGCGTTAATGCAGCAAACCCTTTGTTTTTCACATTCACTGTTGCCGAGCATGCTGAGCACTTGGCTTCGAAATCGTTTTGACGAGAAAAAATCTTATTCAGTTTAATTGTTTTATTATCAAATTCAATTGTTCGCTCTAGCCAATCTGGGCTAAATTTAATTCCTTTCCCGCTCATTGTCTCAAGACAACTGAATTCAATCATGTAATATTTTGCGCGATTTCGACTCGAACTGTCGCATGGATTGATTTTTTGAGACTTCCAAGAAATGCATAAATAACAAAACAAGCGAATTTATTTTGTGCTGTGTTAGAAAAAAGGCCAAATAATGTGTACATTGCTTATTGATTATTTTAACGAATGAATAATAAGCCAAACAAATTGAGAAGATAATCAACAACTGTTTTTGTTTCATTTGTAATGTATTTTTATGATACATTTTGATTATTTTGCGTTCTAGCACTGCTAATTTTTCTTATTTCTCTACTAAATTTGAAAAACTGAAAATAGCTGATTTTTGGCAAAAAAGCTGAAAATAGCTGCAGTTTTTTAAAATAGCTGAAAATCGCTTAAATAGCGACATTGTGGCAAGCCTATATATGGTATTGTGAACTTGATTAGCCATTGATTTCACAATACCGCACACAAGCAATGCATGGCACACAACGTGTGAAGCGTGTGTCTGACGTATTTGGTTGTCTTTTCAAGTCCCTTCACCGTTCTCACGATGACATCATCAATGAATTTATGATGTTTTGACGAATGAGGAGCAGAATCTATATCTGCTGAGGAATGCCAAAATAAGATTTGAATTGAACCTTTATTTCATTTGTCATAAACATAGATTCTCAAATAATAGAATTTTTTTGTTCATTCTCACGTACCGCGCCTACCCGCGGCCACCCGGTGAATATACA